TGGTGTAGTGGTTAGCATGTACGGCTGCACAGTCGGAGGTCCTGGGTTCGAGTCCCGGTTTGTGCCAAGTTTAGTAATTGAGTCTTTCTGTATAGTAAGTCTCAGTAACAGCCCGGAGTTGGGAAGTTGGTGGTGTTTCACCCCGTGCCTCGGAGAGCACGTAATGCCGTCGGTCCTACGCCTTAACTCTCACTGGTCGTGTCGAGCAGTCGTCCCACCGGAGTATGAGAGTGACAGGAATAGAGAGTGCACTTGTATCTGCGCGTACACTTGTGCACTATAATATCTCCTGCGCAGTTGGCTAGTCTCAATGGGATTGGCCGCTGTAGCCGGAATCGGCTAGGAGAACATCATCATCATATAAAACCTAAGAATCTGGTTTTCGGTCATCTGAACGCGGGCGGAGCTGCGGGCAACGCTAGTCTTTTAATAAATGTAAACTTTACGTCGTAAATACTCGTAAATAACTGTTAAAAAATTAATTAAAAAAAAAGAATACACTGTAGTGGATGTTTATTACAATGTAATAAATAGGTACGTTGATTTTTAACCCCCGACGCAACATGAGGGTTACATAAGTTTAAGGTATGTGTCTGTGTGTCTGTCTTTTGCATCGCAGCGCCCAAACGGATTAACCGATGTTAATTTAGTATTTTTTTGTTTGAAAATGATTTAATTGAGAGTGTTCTTAACTATAAATCAAGAAAATCTGTTCAGGCATTTGCAGGCTATCAACTCTTTTCAAAACGGTAAAAGGATATGAGCAATTTCCACAGATCTAATTCATTCGAAACTTGGTATTCTGTAACTTCAAAAACATTGTAACAATATGGTTACCTTGGTCACCTGGAACCTACAAAATGCTCAACTTTTTACTGAAATATTACAGATATATCGTGTCTAGGATTACTAAAATGGCTACAATGAATAAATTATTGTGTTGATTTTTTAAATATTTAATATAAGTTGTTGCGTAATTTCTTGTACTTATTTATTTTTAATTTTGGATTCATAAGAATAGACTTTTAACTAGGTGTCATGTAATCAAGTATAAGAATATAATATGCAATGTGTGGGAAATATGTAAAGTCCTTGACCAACTCCCTAACAGGCACAAGTAGACTCCCACGAAATACAATTGCAATTTTGAACCAACACGCCATCAACCTTTGACGAATCAAACCTGTTTTTAGATTTTGTCACAAAATTAAATGTCAAATTTGCATACGATTATAAGTGTTGGTATATAGTTAAAGGTCATTCTATCTATTTCATAACGCAATGTACCTTACATCTTCTGCTTTTCGATTGTTACGTGTATGTATATAAGAATAAGAAGTTAAACGTGTGAATAAGAAGTTAAAATAAGATTAACTTGTAATAATAAATATATTTATTTAGATCTCTTGTGGTAAGGTGCAATGGAAATCTATGTTATGGTTCTAACTTATATTTATCCTAAAGTCAAATAGAAAACAGCTGAAGAAGTAAAAGACAAAAGAACATCGGAGTGTCTATATAAACATAGTTAAGATTTATATAAACAGTTCGTTAAGTTTTTTTAAAGTCCGTTCAAGAGAGACATTCACCCTTACATAAATTCCCAAGAAGCTGAAAATCTATATGAACGTTAGGGATACCATTATAATGAAACGTCTTATTCCCTATACTATCTATATACATGTTTCCACGCCACCTGTGAGGTAGTGTACTTGGCGCGTTTTTATATACTATAATGAAGCAGTAATTTAGTGAAATTGGTACATTAAATAATTTTTAAAAAATGTACACAATATAGACCCCAAAACAATAGTTATTGAAAAAAACGTCTGTTTGTGTGCGCGTTTCACGTAAAAAGTAATGAACCGGTTTCAACGAAATTTGGTAAAGTGATAACTTATTACTTGGGTCGGCATTTAGAATACCTATTACTATAGGAAAAAATTTCATGCCCATCGGAAAACACAATAACTGGTTCTATCGAGCCGTCGAAATTTATACGGCTAACGATGGCTAAACATTAAGAAATACTTACGTGAAAACAATGTACTAGAAAAATGTATATCTTAATTTACTAGGGCACATATTCAATAACTATTTTTTATTATATATTAAAGTTACATAGGGAGCGTACTCATGCATATTATAGAGAATAGGTACAACTTTAGTACATTTTAGAATCGCTTTTTCTCAGAAGTAGTGGACCTTAGGACAATTTTTGTAGACAATAGCATGATCTTTATTTTTGTCTAAGTTATTTTTATCATAAAACCAATGCTATAACTGTTTACCCAAAAATAAGAAAATAAAACATTTTCGCGAATTTTGACCTTGTATAAATTTTTTTGCACACATGGGATCTTTTCACAATTTCATTATAATGGTATCCCTAACGTTCATGTAAATTTACAGCTTCATGGGAGTTTATGCAAACTCCCATGAAGCTGTAAATTTACATGAACAATGTTTAACTTGACCGGGCTATTAAAAGAATAAGTTTTCAGCTCGGTAGGTTAATGTTATTTTTTTTGCATAAAGATCCTTCACCATAAAACAAAAATTTGTAAATATTCGTACAAACCAACAATAGTAGGACGAATAATATATTTTTTATTCATCCGATTATTATCGGACGAATAGCAACAGCCAAAAAACACTCAGCATTTACCTTACTCTATCACTCACTCACTTACTCTCAAACTTACGCATTTATAATATTACTCATAATTATACTTACTTAATCGTCCATGAACGACTCATTATTAACAATAATATAATAACGGAAGTGACGTTCAAAATTCAAAGCTTTCATCAGGGATGATATTCGTTTTTATTAGAAAATTATTAATCTATACATATAATAAAATTGTCTCTAAGCCGAATCTGTACATCAAATATTTGTTGGAAAGTCTTATTGAAATAAACATTATTATCGATACAGCGGCCGAATCTATAATATAGTTTTTAGAATTTTTGTCCGTCTGTCTGTCTGTCTATCTGTTACCGCATTACAGAAAAACCACTGGAGGGATTTTGATGAAACTTGGTATGTTCATAGCAGGTTATCCGAGTCAATATATAGGATACTTTTTACTGCGGGAAAATGTCTCATTTCTGAGAAAAAATACAAAAACTGCAATGTAAGAGTATACTAATATGTAAAACCTAAGAATTTGGTTTTTTGTCATCTGAACGCGGGTGGAGCCGCGAGCAAAGCTAGTATACTTATATAAAACATAAATAAACTCGGTTATAGGTATAGGTATGCATATAAAAAAAACAACAATTAAATGTGGATACATAATGCTCATCTATACAAATGAAACATCATCGACTAATATATTTAATCTCGAAGCAAATTACATTGAAACCGAGTAACCTTCTACGATATTTATGGTCATTAAAAATTATTATTCATTGATTGGAAGCATGACATTAGAAGCACTACGCTGATAGGTCACATTATTGGTGGTCGCAAGATCAACTTGAACACTCATCGTCTATATCAACATGTTTATTTGATTTTACTTAAAGACCTAAGTAAGTCATCTAGCCAGGTCTTCTTAGGGTGGTCTACTGGATAGTTAAAATGGATACGCTCACCTAGCCTTGCGATCACTGCGACCTTACATCTAGTGAAATTGAACCGGTACTTATTGTATACCGGTCTCGCTGCACTCGTTTATAGAATTATTGAAACTTAGTTATGTTTTTATAAATACAGGATTTACTTATAATCAGTTAAATATATATATATATATATATAATATATATATATATATATATATATATATAATATATTCATATTTAATTACAAAGAAGTACTATGTACGATGTATTCAATAAACAGACAAGTACTAAATAGACAGCTTTTTTACTTCGTGGGTTATTTAGGCTTCCGTACGATTTAATATTGAAGCAGGAAGTTGCGCGGCACCGCCATTTTGTACCACTACTGTAATTAAATTTGCTTCTGGGGCTTTATGAATCACTAAAGTTATTGGATATTTATTCCATAATATTTGGCTTTCCTTTTTCATAATTTTTGATTAATTACCTATATATATCTCCTTACCTACAAACAATGAACTTTCTCTATTTTTAATATATACTCATTATATTTAACAGAAACTAGCGACTCACCCTCGCTTCGGTCGGGTTCGTACCTGGCTTGCTTCCCCATACAGACTTTCGTCCCCATTCTGACCCCCTTACGAGATGATTTTCGGACTAAAAACTATTTCACTCACTCATTTTTCATATCATGAGTTTAAAAAAAAACTTTTAATTTTCTTCTATACAAAGCTTGTCCAGGTAATAATAAACACAAAGAAATAGAATTATCCAATTTGGTGCAGTCGATCGGAAGTTATGCGAGTACATACATTTCGGTGATTCATTTTTATTTATATATATAGAGATAGATATAAGTTTAACAATGTTCAAAAGGCCTGTACATACATATTTGATAATTCTCTATAGAAGCGTAAGTGGCGTGTGAGTGAATAAGTGGCGAAAGTGTTTATAATGTGTTACTCCATCGATCAGCACTAACGTCGAATAAGAATGCGTAATATTCACCCACGCTCCGATTAGAAGAAATTTCTCACGAGCATATCAAACATTTTACATTTCGCTTTTGATGTAATCATGACAATTAGTTTTTCTTGCCCCTCATTACTTTTTACATAATATCTTTGCATTACAACATTTTATCTATAGGACACTTAAAATGCTTTTTTTGATTGTATTTTATTAATGTTTAACTAAATCAAAATACACTATTAATTATTATTAGAATTATTTAAGTGTTAATAGATCAAAGTGTTCATCGTTAACTGTTTGTACAATGTAAATGTACGAGTACATCGTACACTGGTTTATAGATAGCTAAAAGTTGTCTCGTTGACTAATACTGCAGAAATGTAATGTTATGTGTAATACAATGAATCAAGTTTTATTACTTAACATTTATTTTTATTTTATTTTCTTTGTTACAGATGTTTCCTGCTTTTCGCCTTTCAAGTTTCTTGTAGTGAAGTAGACATTATAACAGAACCGCGTCCAGGAGAAGAATATGTTTTAGTAAGTTCTGGACAGCAAACACCTTTAAGAAACTTTGAAACTTCACATAAAATCCCTGAAAAACATCCCAACCACAGATTAACAAAACCTGACGAAGGTGAAAAGATTTTTAAAAAGTTACACTCTGGAAAAACTAAACATCCTACTGAAGGTATTATATCTATAGAAGAGGATAAAAAAGCTCTATTAAAAAAAGGACAAAAGGGCAAAGCTTCTGAGTCAATTGAAGTAGATATCCCTGTTTCTAAATTAGAAGATATAAAAATTAAAGAAAATATAAAGGCTTCAGATATTCACCCGAAATTAGCAGTTGCGTTAGAAACTATGTCTGATTCAGGAAAATTAAGCGATATTGATGGAACTACTACTCAAAAACCAGTCTTAACTACGTCAGCACCTTCCGCAGCTCCAACTTACGACTACATTCCTATTAATTTTGATACTATTGACGATATTAACAGTGGGTTACTTTCATCGAATGTCAAATTAGAAACAGCTGGTTCTGAACAAAAACAACATTCAAGAATTCAAGTTAAAAAAGGTCCCAATGGTCAAGATTATGAATATGAGTATATTTACTACTACTATGATGAGGACGAAGAAGGTAAAAAAGAAAACAAAGCCAAAGCTCCTTTGAGTACTGAGGCGCCTATTACAAATTCCCATGATGGACCACAAAAAATTGAAAGTGAAAATCAAATAGCAAAAGAAGTTAAACCAAAGAGTAAATACAGTACAATAGATAGATCAAGCGCAACTACAGCCGCAGCCCCAGAAGCTCACAATGAGGTCTACACGGCTTCAGGTAGATCAAGGTCACGAGGACGCACCATTGCGCCAGTATCCGTTGAAGAAGAACCTCGCGAAGAGAGGTAAGTACATTCAATAGTTTATAAGGTGTGTAAGACACCTCACAGTAATCTTTATCACATGAAGTAGAGCTTAATGGTGCAGTAGTAGTAGCATAGCGAGTAGTAATATTAAACATAGTAGACGTGGCAAATTAGATAACACACATTTCATTTAAGTCTCATTAACTCAACCTCACTAGCTTTCTAAGGCACGAGCTCATGAGGAATCACTGCACTGTGAAGCAAGCACTGGTAAGAAAATATGTTCGTACAATACAATAACTTTTCTCATCAGGCTGCCATCCAGTACACGATTTCCTCCCCGTGGTCGTAATTTGGCCGCTTCAAGCACTACTACGTATGTTCCTGAAGTATCATCAGAAACAATAAGACATCGTGGTCGCTCTCAGGTTGACAATGTCGCTGACGAGTCGATCGGTCAAACTAGAAGTAGAACACGCGCTCATATCAGGTAACGTAAATGCTTTTTAAAGCTAAATTACTTTTAGCTACTGTTTTACTATTTCAGCATGTCCTATATAATAAAAGCCTACAGCATGAATGTATAACGAGATGGTTGGTTAGTCAAAATATAAAATTCTCTACAAAGTCTAATTTAACATCCTCTTGGTGATAGTGCTATAAATATAAGATGGGTCAATGTCATAATAAACAGGGAAATTATAGCTTTTTTGCATAACTGCGTATTTTTAAGGAATGTTTTAATTTTGCTATTTTATTTTTTTACTAATATATACATATAAAAATAGTTAATTAGGGCTACAAAATAAATTTTTATTTTATTATTTCAGGCGTCCAAGTTCTGAATTAGTAGATCTTGACAGTTTTAAGACTAACTCGGGTGATATCCCATCACAATATAAAGAGCCCCCAACAAGATATTCATCAGAAAGTAAAACAACTACAGAAACGGCAGAAGATTCTGCATCTGCTAGTGAATCATCGCATTCTAAAGAAAGCCACAGAGAAGGACACAGTCTACCGAGCGGAATTAAATTCCAAGAAGTTCAAGATGAATCTAAATTGCCATCTGATTACAAGCAAACTACAACTTCCGAACAAGACGCTACCGAGTACACTACAATGACAGCAATGGAGAAAGTTGCTTTAGACTTGTACGCGTATTTAGCCGGGGAAAACTTAAATAACGAAATTAGCCCAGCTGGAGACTTGATGAGTTTTGAAGCATCAACTACTGTCGATGAAGATGCTTGGACAACTGAATTGGTTAGCACGACGGAAGAAGAAACCACCCCGACAAGTACGACAACAACCACTACAACGACCACAACAACGACGACCACTACGACCACACCAGCGCCCACGACAACTACCACAGCAGCACCAACCCGCCCTTCAAGGTTTAAGGGTCGCCCTGGAGCAAGGGCCCGCGCACCTGCTTCTACTAGCGCCGCCACGGAAGCCCCTCAAGAAACCTCTACGAGAGTTCGAGGTAAACTATACTTATTACTAAGGTAATTCTGGCACTTACAAAGGATCTATTAATCATCTAATCTGTTTCCTTTATATTTAACAATTTAAAGAAGCCTGTATGTATGTATACATATTACAATAAACATCTAAAAATATTTAAGTTTAAGCAAAGCGATATACATTTTTATGCTGCTATGCGAGATATGCGAATTGTTTTTCATTTTACCAATGTCTTTCAAAATAAAACTAATTCCAACTTAGTATGATGCAAAAATTTCGGATTTACGCTAATACGTATTTACTGTTAGATATGAATAATATTACAGAAATAATGAAGTAATCTTAAGTAGACCATATTTACTTAATTCTCAATATATAAGTATTCATATATGTAGCTACCTAAGCTTTTTATGTTTGGCATTTTCTATTAAAATGTTACTTCTTGACGGATTTGACCAGATTATAGAGAAATCAAAAAAATATATTTAATACTCGATGTTTTTGCCGTTACAAAACATTATGTCACGATCAGTCACGGTAGTGGTTTATACATATACCTATAGCTATTAAGCTAACACACCAGAGTGAGACATTATGAGTACGTAAATTAAACGATCAGTGCAAAATTATAAAGAGGACGTTCGATTCTATCAACAAAACACTCGTATTATGTAAATGAATATAGCATGTGAGCATTCTTTTCGGCAGGTCGTTTCGGTAAGCCCAGTAATGGTATCAAGAAGACAACGGCAGCTGCAGTCGAAGCACCTACCACTCCCGCCCCAGTCGAGAAGCCAGCGCAACCAAAGGTTTGCATCTACCTATTAATTTTTTTCGAAGTCTGATTGACTACTTTGATATGATGATGTAAAGCGACATGCTTCAGCGAATGCTCGCAATGCGAATATTATTACTATTTTTAAACTACCTTTTTAATGAAGTATTTAATAACCCAGATCACACTGTCGCCAACTAACACGCAACATTTTTTTTTAATTTAATTATTAATTGCATTATATGAGCTTATAGCATAAATAATCTAACAGGCATTATGCTTGATTGTTAAATTTTATATTGTGCTAGAAGAAGTTTCAAAAGCAGTAATGTAATCCGGAGTAAGTCTGTAATAATAACGAAATAAAAATATTTCACACATCGATAAATTACGCACATTTAAATAATGGGTAGGTTACCAGGTTACATATAACATTTTAAGGAATGTGATGTTTTTTGAAATCAGAATACATAATATTATATTAAAATATGTATCCAATTTACATGAATATCAATAATAGCACTAATAAATGATAAAAACGACTTAATATAGATTAATATGATTCATAGATAGATAACTTTAATTAGAACTGTCAAGGTTTCTCTTAGCTCGGAACATGTGATTACATAAATTTTACTAGCTCATTAACGATTTAATCGTATATTCTTATTATACGACTATGTTCACATAGTTACTTGTAATCATTACGCGAATATGAACAGTAAATAAACGAAAAATGACGTTCTGTTGTTATATTTTGTTAGCAGGCGTTTGGACGCCGCGGACTGTTCGCGGGCCGGACTCGTTCCAGCTCCACTGTCACTGTTGCGCCGGCCTCAGATGCTGTAAGCAGCTCTCCCAGTGTCGAAGCAGCCACTCCCAGGTCAATGCTAAATCTATTTTCATAATATTATTATTGCTTTTAAAAATAGTATTTTTATAGGATGGATTTTACTCCTCTAGTAGTAGTATCTTAAAATAAGAAAAAAAAATGGTAAATAAATACGAGTATAATAGGATGATCATAAAAACCTTATAAATATCTATATATCCCTGTGCGATGTTCAGAGCTCGTCTTCGCCCCGGCTTAAGAGGACGAGTTGCTTCTTCAAGCACAGCAGCGCCATCGTCTGGTGAGGAGACCGAGACTGCCGCCCCCGCAGCTAGTCAGAGTGCATCTTCAGCAGAAGTAGTAGAAACTACGCCCACTCCTTCTAGAAGTATTGGGTAATTAATTAGTACAATTCTTACTAAGCGATTTTTGATATTAAAAAAAATCATTATTATTAACTACTTTAAATATTCAGCTGAGTAACTATATTTTTTCTTATAGCCGTAAACCTGGTGGTGCCAGACCAGTATCGCTTCGACCTGGGCCAAGGCTAAATATAAGACCAAATCCCCGTTTAAGGCCGGGAGTAGCTAGTGTAGCGCCCACGGAGACTGCTTCGGAAGTCCCCGCTGAAACCTCAGCCCCCGAAGCTCCTGCGACGGAAGCGGAAAATGAGGTAAGACTTATATTTTCGATTGTAGCAGTTATTGTGTCCTTACGACTTACTCTCGTTTTGCTTTGCTTTAAGTGTATTTTTGCCAAATATTCTATTGCTTAATTTAAAATCATTTAGGCAGAGCGTACTCTGATAGAGCAACTCAACGGCCAGTTTTTTCCAACTTTAATTATAATTACTACTAGCGGCTCACCCTCGCTTCGCTCGTGTTCGTCTCTAGAAAAACACTAATAAAGATCTATTAGTTCCCACGGGAACCGTTCATTTCTCCGGGATGAAAAGTTACCTATTTGTTATTCTGATGTATGACCTATATTATTGTAAAGTTTTATCAAAATCCAATCAGTAGTTTTTGTGTACTAAGCTAAGTTACTATAGTTTTTTGGCTGTCCCACGGGAACCCTTTAATTTTCCGAGATGAAAAGTAGCCGATTTGTTATTGTCATGTATGAACTATATTATTGTAAATTTTTATTAAAATCCAATCAGTAGTTTTTGTGTACTAAGCTGTATAAGTTATTATAGTTTTTTAAATATCACACGGGAATTATTTAATTTTCCGGGATAAAAAGTATCTAAGATGTTGCCCTGGGATATAAGGTACCACCGTGCAAAATTTCATTGAAATCGGTCCAATAGATTCGGAGATTAGCCCGTACAAACAGACAAATAGACAGAGAAACAAAAAATTTAAACAAAATCTGGACTTGTTGTATTTGTCTTCTTACATCACCCTGACTCGGTTTTTAGCATTTTTTTGCTATGTACAGACATTCGACCTCTACTGTTTTATTATAGTATGTATAGATAGATGATTCCTGACAGTAAACATATATTTATTAGAATTAGAAGAATAGCATATAGTACTCAGCGGTAGTGTAGCATTCATTCTATTAGTCATAGAATTTTCAGAATCGGATTGTTTTTTTTCTTTGAGTTTTAAAGATTACCCCTTACAAAGTTACTACTTAGATTAACAAACTTACAAACCTTATGTCTTTACAATATTAGTGTAGAGGTATATTATACTATTCAGTTATATATTGTGGGTCCTTAATATTTAAAGACCTTCTTTAAGCTTTTTATTACGCATACATTATTATCATTGAAAACATTGCATAGTGAAAGATCGCTAAAGTATATACAATAGGTATACAATATAAGTTCCACTGTGGGTACTTGAAAGTAAATCAAGGTTACCTACTTTTAAAGTCATTATGTAAAATAATAAAATGACACGATCGACTAGTATCAAAGAATGTGGAAATATTTAGTTTTAATATTCTTCTTGTATATTTAAAATATAATTTTATAAATAATATGCTCAAATCTTGTTATTTTGCATAAAATTTTCCTCTTATACAAGAATATATTACCATTTTTAAGTCTAGGTATTATTCGCTGCTTACATAACTTGTTTTCGTATATTTTTTTAATTTTTAGTAACATAGGGAAATAAGCATATATCAAAATTATTTTCAAATCGTTATTATTTTGTACTTGTGTTACAAACAGAAAAATAAGTGTATTAGAAAAGACATACGATAATAACATGTATGTTATTAGTAGGTATGCTATTTTTTGGTGGTTTATGAATGTGTTAGCATACATATGAATGGAAAACAAATTATTAATTTTATTTTCAGGGCTCCTCGCCTACACCTGCACCTGAGCAGCCTCGCGGTGTGTTGAAGCTACGTAACCGCCTACAGGTGTCTCCCTCGCCCAAGCCACGCGTGGCCGTCACCCCGCCGGCCCGTCGTCCTAATCCCTTGTTGAAGAAGAGGTTGCCTGCCGCTGAGGTATTATATTATAATAATTACTTTTATAATTTACTTCTTGATCAGATGTTAAGTATTAAAATATTTTAATTTGTTAAAACAATGTGAAATGTTATAAAGTTGGCCCGCTAAATTATTTAATTATTTTGATTTTATAAATAGGATAAACATTAAAAAATTACTGATTTACTTTTTTTTTAAATAGGCCACTACTGAGGCACCAAAGAAGTCAACAGAGTCGGTAGAAGAGGATACCAGCGAGGAAAAAAGCGAAGTTGAGACGGAGACGGAGGCGCAAGCCACGGAGACCACGGCGGCCCCGCCTCTGCGCGGACTGGACGCCCTTATCGCTCGAAGACGCGCGGCCGGCGTGGGCAATCGCCCCGCCCGCCCTTCACGAGGCGCCTTCTTCCCAAAATAACTTCATCTCCAGTAATCGTTATTTTATGACAGCGGACATCGAGGAATATGTGGAAACGAATCGAATTTGAATAGACCAGTTCAAATTATTTATAATTTTCTAATATTATATTGTGTTTCGTTTTCTGTTCCTCGGTGGCACGTTAGACGCCTGTCGTTTAGTCAAATTATTTTCCAAACTGCCTAGAGATTACTTTTATTTCTTTTTTTATCAATAATAGTGCTTTATGTGTAATTAGTTTTAAACTTTGTCATTTTTAAACACCTTTCGACACCTAACCATTTGATTAAGAACTTTCTTTCTACAACCGTAAAATATTCATATTGTGTACATATTAGAGGTAAATTTTTTACTAATAGGTGTATTCAGGGTTCAAAGTTCAGACGAGTCGCGTGAGTGGTTTCTGTCGTCTTGCAAGCCAAATTACTAACCATCGAAATCCATACGTGGTGGACATATCCTAATCACCAAAGTAGATATCCATAAGATTAGGGACGATTTTATTAAGTCTTAATTTTTCCATATCACAATCATTGTTATCAGAAGCGAGTTTTGTTGCTAACGTAATTACCAACTCGCGAGTAGAACACCGCACACTACAATAAGATAATGCATAATTCTGTAAAAGTTCCAATGTAATTTACAAATGAATATTAAATTTTTCCATTATTTATTGGTAAAGTTGAAAAATAATAATTCAGTAATGATATTTTACATATTTGTATACATGAATAAATTAAAATTAATATGGTATACATAAGAATATATACGTTCTTAATATTTATATACTAAAGTAAAATGTATATTTTTATGTAAAGTTTTTGTAGATTTCTACGATAAAATTATTACAATTATATAATATGACTTTTTTGTATAACGTGAAATGACGTTATTGATATGATATACTCATTCGTTTTATTTATAAATATTAAGTGGTCAACATGTTATAGGGCTTAAGTAAGAAAGTTGTTAATGAATCGTTTCGTCGACATTCATCAATTTAACTAGAAACGTCTGCTGAAGCACTGATAGTTAGTGCCATCGTGATATGTTTTGTATCTTTTGTAAGTGTGATAATAAACTAAATAATAAGATAACGTTTGCGCTCGTTTTATTATTTCTTACCTGAATTACAAAAAATAATACCAGATTTACATAATCTATTTAAGGAAACTATTTCTATGTGTGTGATAATATTGAAACATTAAGAAAGATAATATTTAGATTATTTATAATAATCAATTGCTGAGTGTATGTAAGAGCATTACGGCTGCATCTATTTGGCTAATACTTTTTTTTTAGGTTTCTAATTGTCATGACAAAGTTTTTAACGAAGAAAATGTTTGACAAAATGTGCGAAAAAATGAAAAAATGGGTAAAAATATATCTATATAAAAAGTGAGTGAGCGAGACATAAAACAATAGAGAGATCTTTAAAAATATTGCTTAAACCATCAAGCCTCCCTTCTCACAAACTCTTTCTAAACGTTGGCAAACCTGTAATGAATAAGCCACTTGAGCGATGTAACGGGACTAGACTGCGAGTAACACTCCACAAAAACATTATTGTTTGCTAGATGTGCTCAGGGAGAATCGGTATTCATACCTTGAGTACCACTCCCTATCGTCAAACTACCCTTTTGAATTTAATCCATTAAATAGCCCCAAAAGTTCACTTTGCAATGACCTTTAATAAATCTCAGGGCCAGTCGTTAAAAGTAGTAGGCATAGACTTAAGAGAGGATTGCTTCTCACATGGGTATTTTAGCACCAGACAGGACAACCACCAATGTGGTGCACAAAACTAAGTTAAGAAAGTCTAGACTGATTAGACTAAGTTAAGTGAATCTAGAATGATTACATAAATGCAAGTACCTACACAAAATACCCTGGACCGCAAAGAAACAGGGTTAGTTAGAAAATATTCAATATCTTCAAAAGTACCTTACCTAGTTTTATGAAATCTATACATATAATAAAATTGTAACTAAGTCAAACTGCACATTAAATATTTGAGGGAAAATCTTATTGGAATAGACATTATTATCGATACAGAGGCCGAATCTATAGTTTTTAGAATTTTTGTCTGTCTGTCTGTCTGTTACCGCATCACGGAAAAACCACTGGAGGAATTTTGGTAAAATTTGGTATCATGATAACTAGTTATCCGGGTCAACATACAGGATACTTTTTATTGCGGGAAAATATGTTATCTCTGAGAAATCTACACTAAACGTTAATACATAAGTAGGGACGAACACGAACGGAGCGAGGGTGAGTCGCTAGTAAAGACAATTAAAGAATATTTTTATGTGCTTAAATGAAAATAAAAAAATGAATTCAAGCTTTTTATTTTTAATAAATGTAAAATAAATGAAAATGCGCACTTTTTACAGTATTTTCGCAAATGTAGTTTGGTTACTGGTGTGCCGTTTACACGACTTTTAGTACTTTGTGTTGCCTCCGCGAGCTCGCAATACTGCTGTTATGCGATTCGGCATACTTTCTTCTAGGTTTTTGAGGTGATGCTGTGGAATATTCTGCCATTCCTCTATTAGAGCTTCTTTCATTACACGTCGTCTCAATTCGTCCCATGCATTCGTCCCAGTTGGGGCTGCGTGCTGGGCCCCCCATGTGAGTGATGCCGACTTCTTGAAAATAGGAAAACACTATCTGATCTGTTTGCGGGCGGTAATTTTCTTGCATAAAAACGCCATTCTCGTCCCTGTCAACTAAAAATGGACCAACGTTGTCATTCAGAATTTCAGTGACCACTTTCTGTAGTTAAAGTTCCCATTTCGGAAGAAATCTCAGCCGTATGGTACTTTTTCTTCTATACAGGCTTGGTTATAGCGCTCTCCCAGTCTTCTGTACACTCTATTCCTTATATCATGCTTGTATAATCAGAATCTAGAGTCATCTGAAAACATAACTCTTGACATTCAGAGTCCAATTCTCATGTTCTCTACAATAAACTAACCTTAAATTTCTGTGGTGTCTTTCTAGTTTTGGGCCATTTGGAGGTCTTAACGGCTTTAAATTTGCTTCAGCCAGACGCTGCCTTACTATATCCTTACTTAGAATGTTTCCTCCGGCTCATAAATGATGATTCTTTACTTCAACAGCCTTAAGAAAGCTATTTCTCAAAATAATTGACACCATATAGTGATCCTCCCGCGCCGTCGTGCACCTTGTTCGGCCTGTTCCTGGTCTTCGAAGATTGGATCCAGTTTCATGGAAACGCTGGGGTGCTCGCTGAACTGTAGAAGATCACACCAACAGTTCTTCTGCTTCATCTTCAAGTATTGTCAGGATCCTGATACATTCTTCAGGGTTTAACGACTTGATGACTTCAGAAGAATGAAATTTATAATAAATTCCCAAATTTCACGTCTTTAAAAAGTTGTATACTTTTAAAAATTAATTTTTTTTTGTAGAAATTAAAAATAAAAAAACCAAGAAAAAATTAAAAATGTGTTTTTTGCAAATATTCAAAAAGTAAATTTCGAGTCGGATAAGTAGTTCCTGAGATTAGCACGTTCTAATAATCAAAGTCTACCTCTTTATAATATTAGTACAGATAAAAAAGTAACAATATGTTACTCCATGGATATGACTTAAACCTTGCTAATATTATAAATGTGCAAGTCAGACGGATGTTTGGATGTTTGTTACTCAATCGCGCCAGAATGGCTGAACGAATCTGGATGACATTTGGTATAGGGATAGGGATAGATTATAGCCTGGAATAGTAAATTGGCTACTTTTTATCCCGGAAAAATGTACAGTTCCCGTGAAATGATTTGTATTTTTAGAGGTGTATTCGCTAGTCTATACTAATATTATAAAGAGGTAATGTTTGTGAGTTTGTGATGTTTTTAAGGGGTAATCTCTGATTCTACTGAACCAATTTAGATGAAATTTGGTAAGAAGATAGTTTGAGACCCTGAAAAAGATATAGGACACTTTTTATCCCGAAAATCATCTCTTAAGGGGGTGAAATCGGGGATGAAGTTTTGTACTAGAAATCAAGCTAGGGACGCACCCGGGTGAAGCGAGGGTGAGTCGCTAGTATAATGAATATATACCCACAGTGGGACTTAAATAATTAATAAACAAACAATTTCAATTTTAGGCAACATAAAGTTATATTGTTTAAATTAATTATTTAGTTCATATAGGGAAAATTAAAATTTTATTATTATTGTAAATGAAAACAAAAAATAATGATGTTGTATACCAAGATTTTGAAAAAGATTTGTGAAGTTAGTGCTTACATTATATTATTAATAGGGTATATTAGTATTTTAGTAAATTTCTTTAATACCTATATACGATTCCTTAATAGATAATAATAATTTTTTGGTAATAGGTAAATACTTATTTTCAAATTTTGTTTTCCAATTTACAAATTTGTATTACAATTTACTTAATTTTTGTAATACAATTAAGTTACAAATTTGTATTTTTTGCAATTGCGTGCAGTGCACTAATTTTAGTTTCAACAAATGTGTTGGTTGTTACTATAAACAAGTGCAGACTAATGATAGTTCCTGTGTAGAGCACATAATATGTATATTGAGCATTATTGTAATTAAAATATTTTGCACCGGTATTCCATTATGTATTTAGTTTTATAAATTTTCCTCCATTAATGAATTTCTAGCTTTATTCAGTAATACTAAAAGTAGAAATGTTATTAAAACACTGTGAAAAACCTAAAAGTGATTGACATTGACGGACATCCATGAGGATGTGCTTATTTAATAATAATAATAAAACAATATTCGGCGGTACGGAACCCTCGAGCCACGTGTCGAAATCATACTCACATTTGAAAATTATTACAACCATCACATTATATATTAGTTATTATAACACAAAGCCGAACAGTTTGTTTTTTGTAGTTTAAACGTTTTAATACTATTATATATTGTATTGTATGTAAAGTTTTAGTAGTAGTATTATATATTGAAATTAGTTAAAGAAAAAATCACCTCACATTAATCTGAAACATAAATAAAAAACAATAGATAAAAGTGTAGTGATGCAGTAAAATAGTGGCTTTAGTTTGTTTTCCTACAAGTATATCAATTGTATCGATGAAATCTACATCCTCAAGTAGAAATTTACCTAGAAATAATCATAATTATATTTTTTATAAGCTAAGCATAGCATAACTGTTTAAGAGATAGGTAGTAGGTCAGTTAAAGAACTATCTAAATTAAAGAATAATATTTAAAATTGACTTAATTTGAAATTGAAATTTTCATTAACGTTTTAAGTAGGTAGGGTACCTAGTAACGGACATGAGGCATGAGTGGTCAAATCAATATTATTTCAACAGCATATCCCAAGTCCCTATTATAATATAAAACTAGTAGGTAACTACTAGTAGATATAAATATCAACAGAAGATCTCAGTTTAAAATTTTTCATGGAGGTGACATAAACAATACATTTTTATTAATTAATATAAGAGAAAATTGAGGTACATATTTTGATAGGTAAAGACACAAATCGGACCAATTATTACTATAAATCAAATATGACACAATCTATCGCTTTGTGTCAATAATAATTGAACAAACAAATGTTTTTATTACACACTACCAATTGAACACGGTCAAATACTTATATTTCTCAAGCAAACTTCACGAAGATAAAGTAGGTACGCCAGACGACTTCGCTGGTTACATCCAAATTGTCCCATTACACGCGGCGGACTTGAATAGCCACTATTCACTAGCCAGTCGTTAACGTACCACGTCACGCTATACACATTTCAAGCGTCTCGACATTGTAATTGTAAGTACAGTTTTTTATCTTTTCCGTACAAGTTATGAGTCCTATGAGATTATCAATCTTGTTTAATGAAAATCAATTAATCAATTACGAGAATCAATCATTTGAAATAACATAACACTAAAATATTGTTGTCGCCGAAAGTCATTTACATTAAATGAACAATGCCGTGTGTTTAATGACGCTTGAAACTTGTTCAGTAACCGTTTTCCTTTTATTTATTTATTGTATATTAATTATTCTACATTATTTTTCACATATATATATTTATACGTATTTAGACGATAACAAAGCGTTCCACATTTTAATTGAAAAAATTTACATATACCTGTATCTTTTGAACTTTTTAAAAGTCTAATACTATTATAGGCAAAATTTCGCCAGATATAAGAATATTCTATTTCCATATATGAAAAGAAGATAAAGCAGTTTATTCTTAGTCTATAGAATAAGAAAAACCGGCTAGGCATTGATATTATACCTATAGCTCTCACACGGTAAATCAAAAATATTCTTTTTTTTTAATTTTTATTTGTTTTTTTTTGGTTATCTTATAAACGAAATTTTATAGGATACCTCCTAAGTGTATATATAATCAAGCTACTTCCATTGAATCTACCCCACGAAAACATTGTGGTATATGTGACAAACATAAAGTATAAATAAATTTTAACTTTTGGTGGTAATTTTAAAAATCCTTACTAAAAATTATATAGTAAAATATATTTAGCGAATGAATGTCTTCATATCATATGACAGATAGTCTTATCTTCATACATATGATATGAAGAGTGCGTCATGATTATTAGAAATATACTAGCATTGCCCGCGGCTCCGCCCGCGTTCAGATGACCAAAAACCAAATTCTTAGGTTTTACATATTAGTATACTCTTACATTGCAGTTTTTGTATTTTTTCTCAGAAATGAGACTTTTTCCCGCGGTAAAAAGTATCCTATACGTTGACCCGGATAACTAGCTATCCGCAGGGGTGTTGCAGTGAGTGCGAAAGCGATCCTGCACGCCCCATTGCACTGCGGCGAAGGGTTCCGCTGTGGGTTTTTGTGAGTAGGAGTCTCACAGTACCCTGCCCATGACGGCGGCAGGGTCCCCATGATGGGTTTCCCCAGCGAAAACAAAAAAAAAATAACCAGCTATCACCATACTAAATTTCATCAAAATCCCTCCAGTGGTTTTTATGTGATGCGGTAACAGACAGATAGACAGACAGACAAAAATTCTAAAAACTATAGATTCGGCCTCTGTATTGATAATAAAGTGAATTTCAATAAGATTTTCTAAAAAATATGTAATGTACAGATTCGGCTTAGTTACAATTTTAGAAGAAATACCTATAAGAATCATAAGAATTAAGTATACTATTTGTAATCAGAAAGTCATAAATTCAAAACGAGATCTGATTTACTTTGCTCGATAAAAAAATAGTACTTTATATATATTTAACGTGTAATAATAGTATAACTTACAACTCAGGCTAGAAAATTAATATTTAAAATTTTGGAAACATTAACTGGCTATTTTATATCATTTGCTTAAACAAAAATCGTGGGTGTGTTATCCTAAATCATTCCGATTGGAGATCACAATAATCTCCGTTGTACCGATATGTACTTATCATTCACAAATCGCACAAAAACAGGAATAGTAAACAAAGATGAATGCAAAACTTCTGTAAAAGTGTCATTAAAAGTAAAATTCGTCTACGAGTAGCGTAGTAGTAGACTTAGAGGACGACACTTCACAGCCTTACAAGAAGTTTCGTTGGACCTATATGGTGCCTTAATAACAATAATATCCGTATTTAAAAAATGACATACAGACACACTTATTACATATGCGAATCTTGACCAATGATTTTTTAAGAATGGTGTTAAGTACATTTGTATGTAAATCACGTTTTATATTTTTTAGACAAGAAGATGGGCTTAGACATAAAATCAGTTCTTGTGGTAGACGGCGTAGGAGCAAACTGCGCCGAAATCCTTAACTCTCATAACATCAAAGTGACCACAAAAGCGAAAATAAGTAAAGAGGAATTGTTAAAAGAAATCCCTGTAAGTATTTTTGTTTAAAATTATGACTAAAAAGGCCATGGTTGTAAAACCTTTAAGCATTTACACTTTTGGTACAAGGTAATTTTTTTATTACACTGAAATATATTTACATACTAAAAAATATTTGTTTCCATTGTTTTGATCAGAACCATGAGGCTTTAGTTGTACGTTCTGCGACACAAGTGACAAAAGAAGTATTAGACGCAGGGTCTAAACTTAAAGTGGTAGGCAGAGCAGGAGCCGGCGTTGATAACATCAATGTAAACGCTGCTGGCCAAAGAGGCATTGGTGTTATTAAGTAAGTATGGGGTAAAATAGTTCACAGTCCAATAGTCGTCTTATAATAATCAGTATGAATGTGTCTGGAATATTGTTTAACGCATATTCATACTGATGACGAAACGCGGGTAAAATATTTCACAAAATATTTCTATGAAACAATATTCTCTGCAATAACCAATTTGTGTTTGTTTTTTTGCTGACGCAAATAATATTGCCTAGAGCGTCAAATGTTTACGTCAATCTTTTCATTTATTTCAATAACTATCTTATTATATCGATTGATAACATTTTGAACCTTTCTATCTTGAGGCCAATACACTCGTCGAACTTAAGTATGTACTATGTGTGTAATATGATCCTTACCTACAAGTAATGATAACATATATTTATACTATAAACCGATCACAGGGTTATTAACACGCTTTTATTAGCGTCACCTGTATCTATCTATCATTGTAACGTAATCTTTGAACGCGATTTTCACCCACTTCAAAACTTCAGATCGAGCTAAAACTTTGCACATTTAACAAGGATCGATGACAATGCAATAATTAATTAAAAAATAATAATTTAAAAACTAAAAACACGCGCGTATAGCAGTAAATAAATCACAGTTTAGAATAACTAAATAAGTTTTAGTTTATAAAACTAAAAAGCACGCTTTAATGATGAACTGAACAAAAAGTAAAGAATAATTCGTAATACAAGAATAAAGTAAATAACCAGAAAATTAATATTATTGTTGGGTGCTTATTGCAATATTTTTATACTAACTCTACTTTTAGATATCGTACCAATGGAATATTTATAGCAACTGGTATCAAGCACTCCACGTTTTTTTCATAATAACATAAATTTTCTTGTTATTCATTTTAATCTTATACTAAAAATATTTTTTTTACTTTTTAGTTCGGTTCATCTTGAAAGCGTGCTTTTTTAGTTTTTTAAGCCATAATTTATTTATAACCTTAACAGCTGAATAATTTGTACGTGAAAAGAAAATACTTAAGATAATAAAATTGATATGTATCATTTTATTAAATAACTGGACGTTTTTCTCGTATAAAAAATAACCTACCTATATGCTATTCCAGAACTATTATAGGTATCCAAATTATATCCAGATCCATCTATTAAAACTTTCACATTTATAATATTAATGGGATTATAATTAATGAGATTTACATGATGGAAACAGATTGATTTAGATTTTTAAATATTTTAGTGCACCAGGTGCGAATGCCATGAGCGCATGTGAATTGACCTGTGGCCTGACTCTTGCTTTGGCCCGGCACATCGTTCCAGCCGCCACAGCGCTAAAGGCTGGTCGCTGGGAACGTACACAGCACACTGGCACAGAACTTTACGGGAAAACTTTAGCTATCCTTGGACTCGGCAGAGTTGGCCGGGAGGTAGCAATTCGCATGCACGCCTTTGGCATGAAGGTTTGTACTAAACTTTCCACTATATGTACTCGTATATGGATATAAAAATATATCTTTAAAATATAGCTACAAAATAGAAATATTCATATAATTGTTCTTTTCCACGAAGCCTATTGGAACAGCATTGTTTTGAAAAGGAACGACATTTGCACCTAACACGGTTTAATACTGCCGAGAAGTGCAGATTTATGTCAGTCATTACGTTATGTCTCTCTGCGCCACAAGGGAAAGTGACAAACTTATATAATGCATGATAATGCAATGAAATAATATTTTTGCCAGTGCAACTACAATAATAGTCATCGTTTTCAATTTTGAATAATTACTTCACATATTATGTATATGCGTAAAGGTAGTGAGAAATAATACTACTAAGCTATTTCTTGTCTATAATTAACTTAATAATTAAATTTTTGTTGAATATTTTTTGGTAAATACACACACGCTAAAGCGATTTTTTGTATATGAATAGATGTTGCTGCTGCGAATACGATAAAAAATCTAATGCGAAAGTTTGTCTTAATACTGTCCTTAATTAATTTTACCTTTTATTATTTACTCTTTAATGTGATTGAATGTTATATTTATTTCATTTTAGATCATTGGGTTTGATCCATTTGTCACGGCAGAGCAATGCTCGCAGTTCCATGCCACAAAGATGGAACTGGACGAAATCTGGCCACAAGCCGACTACATCACGCTACACACGCCGCTTATTGAATCTACGAAAAGTAAGATCTGAAGAATGATCCTTCCGAGTTTATTTTTTTTGTGTGCTAAATTGTTTTGTGTAAATAATGAAATTAATAAAATTTATTTAGCTTGTGATATGAAATACTACTGAGTACTGATTCACCCTCACTTCGCTTCGGGTTCCCTATATCTACATGCCATTCCCACGGGAAACATAATTTATATATATATATATATATATATATATATATATATATATATATATATATATATACTCTATGGCTATAATCTATCTATCTATCTATCCGTTCAGCCGTTCTGGCGTAAAATAGTAACAAACATCCATCCATCCCCACAAACTTTCACATTTATAATGTTAGCGTTTTCCCCCAAGCTATGTTAATATAAGGTTTCATAAAAATCCAAAACTTTCGCGTTTATAATATTAGTAGGATTAGTACAGATATGGATTTATCAATTATTTACTACGTATTAAAATTATACGAACAAGTATGATGACTTAGTAAAATCTACTTCACTAATTTCATCAAAATATTTATCTTTTATGCTTAAGATTTATTAGCCTTCCACCACTAATACTTAGTTGATAGTTCCTGTATTATTTATACATATTTTGTTAGATTTATCATTTTAAATTTGTAATCTGTTTATGAGAGCTCTATTTACTATTTCAACATACATAAATGATTTTTCTAAAGAAATCGCAAGCTTAATGGCAGTGAAGCTACTATAATATTTTTTAATTTTTTATTTATTTCTTTACATACAGATTTTATCAACGCCAGTGTATTGCAGCGGTGCAAGAAAGGAGTTAAAATCATAAATGTAGGTCGTGGCGGTCTTATCAATGAACGTGATTTCCTAGAAGCACTTAAATCTGGGCAGGTAAAAGGAATCTAAATAATTAATTTACATGTAAATTAGCATCTGTATTAGAGAAAGAAGAGTCTTATCAAATTCGTTGATAATAAATTGAGATAATAATACTATCTATGCATTACTTTAAATGGCAAAATTTTTCAATTTCGATATTTATCATAACGTATAATGTAAATAATAGCACACAATTACTAAACATCATCAAATTAATAAAGAAATATATTATAAATATTTACTTTCAAAAAGTTAAATACGAATAAAATTTCCCTCAATAGGTCGGTGGTGCGGCGCTCGATGTGTTCGAGCAAGAACCGCCCACAGATCCCCTTACTCTAGAAATTATCCAGCATCGCGCTGTGATTGCTTCTCCTCATCTTGGTAAATATAGATATTGTCTTCATAATAATATCCTGTATGTGAATTATAAAATGGATGGAGAACTTAAAGTTAATACAAAACATTTTAAATGAAAACAAAGAAAAAATTGTTACACCGATATCGCCTAATTTAAATAGGTGGTAGAGATATTTAAGGCAAGATTGTATTTTTATTGTGTATATTTTGTTTTAATGGCAAAGGCAAATGTATTTTTATTGTGTATATTTTATTTTATATTATGTGTTACTATTTATTCGATGTTTAGATTATCAACAATAATAAAACAATTTTAACTATTAAATATCAAATAAATATTCATCATTTTACTTTAATAATATATAATTTAACAATAAGATAATATTTAAATATTGTACCCCATTATCTATTTTTTTTCTATCGGATATCTGTTGAGACTTCGGCGGCCAATCTTACGAAGACTAAGTAGACTTTTGCGCGAAAGATATAGGTAATAATGGACAAGTAGGTACGTGCGCAAAACTAGTGTAGTGATAGATAAACAAAATCTCAATTTTTGTACGACTCAGGATTCGAAGCATTAATCAACCAGGCAAATAAACAACTGTACGGTTGCTGATAGTGGGGCTAGCCACTAAGCTAACGTGGCAGTCGTATATTAATAGCTAATGCAATAATTTAATTCAATTTCGAATGAATATTACAGGTGCATCTACAAAAGAAGCTCAGATTCGAGTAGGTCAAGAGATAGCTGAACAATTCGTCAATTTGAATAAACCAGGCACTTATCCAAATACTCTCCTCGCCGAAGTAACACGAGTTCTGCCTAAGTAAAAATGGCTTATTATTTATTAATTATTTAATTGTTTTTAATTATAAAGACTCTTTTAATAAATTGCTTCAATACATATGCTATGCTAACTTTAAACATCATGAAAACTGTGTGTTAAGTACTATAATAAATAATATAAATGAGTCATGGTTTTATTTTTTCTAATTCATTTTTTTTCTTTTTTCTGTCTCGTTTCCACTCACACTAATTTCGTTATCATAGATAATCAAAGTAACCTCTGGACAATTATTCTTAAGCTTATCAGGCGTGTTCTTTGGATATAAAGACATTGCACTTGCAACTATGCATCGAAGTCCGTAAAATTCAAACGTGAAATAAGAAGTAGAGTTATTACACAAAAAGTAAATAGGGAAAAATGTTAAAACTATTGTGTTATATTTATTGTTTGAAAACTAATGTTTTAGCTTCTCTTATTACTTCCTTATTATTTGCAGAAATGTATGACCTATATGTAAGTGGTTAAGAAGAAGGAAAATGGTATCTAGCGTAGAAATATGCATTACTTATGTAATATATCTTACATACGAGTATTTAATGTGGTATGTAAATATATCCAATTTCGTATCATCATCCTATTTTTTTCTGTCATTTTTTACGGCGTTCGAAGTGTTAACCCGAATATTGCGTAACAATTTAAATAAAACTTACAGAGAAGTTTAAGCTTTCATGTGGAAATGTAAAAAACACTTCGTTACAAAACTTTTTCTGAGAAAAAACTATTCGTCAACTTTTAAAATGCAAGCTAGCTTTTTCCATTCGTTTTTATTTCTTATATATTTGAGGACACTGCTATTGATAATTCTTTCATACAGTGTTGACAAAAGTGTAATAAATACTTATACTTCAAAATTTCTCCTTTTCATATATTAATTATCTCTAAGACCACGCTTTAACCGTTCGCTTAAATTTTTACTCTCTATCATTAAAACAAATTTAACAATCTATGTATATTTTGTCCGTCCCTTTCAATAAACACGTGACTACAACAATTTTATTTGCAACTCCTTATACGGTGTACGGAGTACGAAGTACCACACCATAGGCGTACAGCAAAATACAATTTTTAAATTAAACTCTTGAAAAAGATACTTGAAGTAATTAAAAAATATTGTAACTAATAGTAATAATTCAATATTCAAAAATATACATACAATTCTGATTTTGTACATTTGTTTAGAAGCCTACACATACTACAATACAACACATACTACACATACAAACACGTATCTATATTTTGTTATCCCACCAATATTATATACGAGTACATACAGGTCAAACGGGTAACCTTCTTTTATAAAATCGGTTAATTAATTATTTATCACTTACGATCACACATACGTTGGTTATCACAGGTTTTATCAGTATTTCTCTTCGTCTGTATACAGAGGGCCTATTACGAGTTTTATTTACATTTGAAGAATAGGACGAATTTCATGTCAAAATTATAGGAAAAGTAAATATAGTATTTACCCCCCTAATCACCATCATTAGCTAATGATGAATTTAACCTACTTCTAATTGTCATATTGACTTGAAAGTTTGCAAGTGTTTCTATTTCCGTTGATAGTACAGTGGTTCGGTATTGTTGACCTGATCTGATGGTAAGGCCAGAAGGTGGATAGGTGCAACTCTTCAACGGCTAATAGTAGATACTTTGAGTTTGGGTTTATTTTGTTTGATTTGACAAGCCTAACACGTTAGAATTCTTACTTTGCTACTACTGTCTACACTAAAAAGGGAAAAATAAAAACTTTTTAACAAAAAAATAAAAACCGACTTCAAACAAAAGCACTAAAAAGTAAAAAATAACTGATTGGTTGTTTTCATTTACTATACATACCTAATCAAATATTTTAGAAGTCGGTGCCAGCCGATACAAAGCAAGGCACACCGACTTCGAACTTAAAGTACCTCTTATTACGTCTGTCTCGTCATATCGCTAAAGGCAGCTACGAGTATGTTAATACAATAAGCAAATTTTGTTGCATCATTCCTGTCATCGACGCTAAAAGTTGACCTTATCTGAATATTTATTAGCTTGAATTTATAGATCTCACCACAAGTTACGTGACAATTTGTTATCATGTCTATCATCATCAATATTCTCAATATTAAGTTTTTCGTTTTCATTAGCAATTTTTAACGGGACGAAGTATTTTCACCCGACTCGGGCGAAGTCTAAAGCAGGATTCTATTTGACCTGTACGTATATACATACACGGCATACGTCCTATCCTATATTTTCTTGTAGGTATATTTAAAGTTAATTAATAATTTATTGTTATTAAAAATCAAAATGGCGAAAAAAATGTTTGAAACACGAATTGGCGCTTTAGATCCGCCATTTTGTTTTTTTTATGATATCTATATATCCTATAATACTCGCGTTATCATGACGAATCTAACTATCGATAAATTATCAAAATCGGTTAAACCGTTTAATAATTACGAGGGAACATAGAGTCGAACATATATACATACGTACATACGAGTACATATAGGTCTGAGATCAAACACATCCCTCCTCTGGACTTCGCCGTAGTCTGGTAAAAATATAAAGAAGTATATCACTGGACTATAATTGTGACATAACATTGATAGACATTTTGCTAGAGAACGATGTTATAATTATTATCAATTGTAGGTCAAAGCCATGTTAACTAAATAATAATATATTAATGCACTGAATGCATATTTGAATAATAAGCTTAGTTAAAATTTACAAATAACACCAAAAATCTAATTTATCTGCGGGTCCTTATTGCATTTTTTTGGAAAGATTATGTTTAGATGTATAGATATAAAGATAAAATGGCGTAAAATATATAAGGTTTTATTTGATAAAGGAGTGATCTAAAGTTATAATTTAACGGTGATTTGGTTTAGGGACAAATAAGTTAATAGTTTGTTTCGAGTTGTTGTTATATGAAATCGTTCTGTCGTTATGCATGCATGATATGTACAAGTAAAACTTTTGATATAATTTGTATATAATTTAGCAAATAATTGTCGAAAAATCCAAAATATATGACGCCCAATTGATTTCTGAATTCGCCCTTTATTGTATTTATAATTTTAACGATATATGAGAATATTCTTCAAATTACAGTTCTTTATATTTTGTCCACGGCCAAAATGAAAATTCATCTGGTACAACGAACCATGAATTTTGAATAGATACTGTCAAAATATTCCCTTTAATAAAGTTGCGTAAGTATAATATTTTCAGTTAAATCATTATGTTTTATTAAGTTGTTGTTTATTGATAACATCTTTAATTCCTATTATAGGAAGACACTTATTTCAAATAAAAATATGAGATTCGATTGTGATATCAATTTATCTGGCCTCGTAATTAGTCTGATTTTATCTGGCTTTTATTATCAGATTAGTTTGAAAAAAAAACAGATGATATTGTTTTGTTACATTATTAAACTACAAAATTGTTTTAAAATCATTTTTTTGCTGTTCATTTATTTACCTATTTTTTTAGTAAACAATTCATGATGCTTACAATTTTGTGCGTGTAGAAAATTTTGTTTCTGTGCCGTTGATTGCTGAGTAGACCTAATACAGCAGCAGCCAAACCACGGTGGACTTTAGAACGGGTTATTTTAATTGAATTTGTATACACAATATTCTACGTATGCTGTTCACCGCTGAGTGAGGAGATTTCTCTTTTGGAGCCAAACCTGGATGGAGAAGCCTTGTCATGGTAGATTTCAAAATAATTGAATTACGTATACCTACCGAATTTCGTATCTGTGTTGTTGACCACTGAGGTCGCTCATTTGCATCCAATTCTGGTTGCAGCAACTAAGTCACATTCCCCCCAATGTGCTTTCACCTGGTCGTTGGGTGCTCATTATTGTCCGGCTATTCAGTCAGGCGCGAAGTTTGATATACGAAATTTTATATACACATTCAATTATCACAGGCCATTCCAAAACCTAACGGGACTAAGCTTTTTTTTAATGTTGCGAAATGCATTTAGACATATCATATAATGTAACATACATTGATATACTGAGGTCAATCTTCACCTCTGTGCCTACAACCACTGCCATTTTACGTCGCTCTACCTATCTGAAAGGCGTCCACTACGTTTGCCGAGCCCTGGTCACCACTGTAGAACTCATCTATTCTATCAGCTGCTATTATGCGATAATTATTACCTCTCTATATGCTTGGGCTTTGTCGATAACATTTATTTTTTGTAGGATCACCTCATTTCGAATCTGATCTTTTAGAAAACGCTGAACATAGCTTCATAACTATATAAGTCTCTTTAAACTGGTGAACCAAGTGTAAGGTGTGGTGGGTTCGTTCCTACTTACGTTTTAATGTTTAGTATAGAAGACTCTGAGATGAGATTTTTTCCCGCAGTAAAATGTATCTTACATGTTGACCCGGATAACCAGCTATCATCATACCAAATTACATCAAAATCCCTCCAGTGGTATTTCCCTGATGCGGTCACAGACACACAGACAAACAAAAATTCTAAAAATTCTAAAAAAAATTTAATTTCATATGGCTTCTCGAATCATTCTAGGACGATATCGGTTTTCATTCGTGAGGATTTGAGGTCTATCGAAGCGAATATAATGGCTCAGGTTATCCTGACTATGTTTGCAGACAGCAGATGTTGTATTGCGACGTTGCTTCACATCAGCTATGTGTTCTTTGACCCGGGTTCTGATGGATCCCTTTGTTTGTCCGATGTAAGAGAGCCCACAATCACAACCAAGCTTGTAAACTCCTGCATCTTGTAGAGGGATGTGGTACTTCACAGGTGGTAAAAACTGACTACTTTTCTTTGGCGGCTTGAAGTAAGTTTTAATTGAAGCTCGCTTTACAATGTAGCCAATCTTGTCAGTGACTCCTCTCATGTAAGGTAGGACTGCAGGGACGCGCTCGACTGTGGCTGGTTTCACTCGGTACCTGTGACGTAGGCGCGGCACTTGCAGCTTGTTGTCTCACAGAACTTGCTTGACATGTTGCAGCTCTCCGGCCAGGTGTTGCGCGTCACAGATCCCTCCTGCCCTCTGAAACAAATATTTTCCCACGGTAGCTAACTGTCAAGGGTGGTGGTGAGATTCACCATTCAAATACCTATCAGTATGGGTCTTCTTTCGATACACAGTATGACTCAAGGTGTTATCTGGGTTACGTATAACTAATACATCTAAGAAAGCTAAAAAATTATTAGAGTCCAGTTCCATTGAAAATTGTATTTTAGGGTTTACGAAGTTAAGATGTTCTAAGAATACAGATGAAATCCGAAAAGATAGTTTTATTTAAAATTTCAAATATTCGCGTAAATCTAAGAAATCTATTAAGTTTTCATTATACTGATTGATTAATTCATCAGCAAACTCTAAATCAATAAACACTGGAAGCAAATCAGTGCCTTCGATAAATATTAATATAATTAACTAGTGGCTCACCCTCGCTTCGTTATGGTTCGCCTTTAGGAAAAAAACAAACCTATCACACGGGAACCGTACATTTTCCGGGATAAAAAGTAGCCTATGTGCTATTCCAGATTATAATCTATCTCTGTGCCAAATTTCATCTAAATCAGCCGTTTTGGCGTGAAAGAGTAACAAACGTCCATACTCACAAACTTTCACATTTATACAAATTACTCGGACAAAGTAATATATAAATTAAGCTTTAAGACCAAAGAGTAAAGCCAGATTAATAAGCCAAAAGCTCTCTATTCCAAAGAATTCCATTTTCCTTATAAGACTTGTCTTTGAACAATAAACATGGAGAAGGTAATGAATTCCGTTACGTTTCATCATCAATCATTGCCAATCTGATAGAGATATGTCAAAAACTGGACCAATCCTGCAGCCTTCGGTGTAGAAATCAGTTTCAGTCCATCAACGTATATGTCATGAATTACCAAAAAAAAACATGCATATAATTGACTTGTAAATATATAAATTTCATTAACCTGTACACACATATTATAATATGAATTTATAAAACCAATACACGTGCTTGCCCCGTGCCCGCCACTCCTCTCTATGACATAACTTTCTTGAATTAGTCGTATACTTATATATCGTTACTATAGTTTCACTTATAGAATATTATGAATATGTAATCATTCATAATAAAATATTTTCTTACAAGTACGCTAATGTACACTATTTTATAATAATTATCCTATTTTTATGTCACTCCCCAGCTATGTTAGCAAATAAACTTCATACAACAAATTTCCGTTGAAATTATGCCTGTGCTATGTCTTTCTAGAGATCCCAAATTAAAGTTGTTGTTATATGAAAACGCCACCTTAGGAACGGGGGCCCGGACCTTATCCAATATTAGGGAGTAGTACAACTGGAAGATCTTATCTCCCCGAAACTGATCATCAAACTGTTCAACTAAGTATGTATCAAACTACGTACCTAACTGTGAGAAAAAAATTAATCGATGATTTTTTCTCAGCTGGGCAGCGTCCACAAATATCCCTTATCTCAAGACAAAAACCTGTGAATCAATTTGTGTTCTAGTGATGACACACGATACTGAGACGTGTCCAATCAAATGCTTAAGATCAATCAACAAACAGTGAAAAGTTTGCTAGATAATTAGAAATTTGTAAATAGGTATTAGGTTCAAGGTTACCCTCAAAATCCGCCGATTATCTAAGCTCAGGTCGTAGAGCCCGTGATCTATGGATCGGAGAGTTCTCGAGAGGCAATCGCATACCGGAAGCCAAAAAGTTTGTAGATCTTCCGACGTTGAAAAAGAGCACCATCATGCTCCTGCTTAATGGAATACAGATCATCTGTAGCATCTTATCTGTAGCATGTCATGTCTTGTCTGTAGCATCAATAAGTTCAGTATTAAAGTTCATCTGAATTAAGCCTCATCTTGGTCTTCAAGATCTAGGTACCGATTAAGTATGAGTGATTTCGTGATTTTAATAAACATTGACATCATCGAGTTTCCACTAAAAAGTCATGTCTCCTGTAAACGCAAGTTGCGCACCATAACTTTGCCACTTGTACGTTATTATAATCGAAAATATTGAAAACCATTTTTTATACATTAAAGATTCTTTAATGAATAAAAAAAAATTCACAAATATTTCTCATATTTTATAGGTTCTACAGGTAATATAATAACACAAAAATCTTGATGAATAATAAAAAAAGAAACAAGAAATTAAAAATTAAAATTATTTATTAAAAATACTTATACATAATTTACCATAGTAGATATAAAAAATTCTAATCCATCGAAACTAATGGGTTCAGACCAGAATCTGATGGTGGTGATATCACTTTGAGGGTAGGCACTTTGAGGGTAGGAGGGGGAAATTGCCGGGGGTATTAAAGCCAGTACTTTCTATCAGTGTTTCTAATACTTTCAAATATTAGTTTACAAAGATCTTAATAATATAAGTAGAACATAATACAATGCTCTCAATGTTAAACTGAAGAGCCAAAATACGTATATAAAGAATATTATTATCGTTCCTATATTTTGAACTCTATTTGTATGTTCTCTTTGGACTATTTAAGAAATAGATTTGTTTTATGAAGTTGTTATATGAAATGGGATTTATTTGCAAAACACTAAGTATGTCCATAGCTAAGGAGGGTAAATATTGGTTTTGGAAAAGGACATTTTGGGGAAAATGGGAGAAAAGGAAAACGGCAATAAGAGGAAAAGGCAATCAAGAATCAGAAATTGAGCTTAATTTCCTCGTCTGGAGAAATTTCTGCCTGTCCTTGCGGAGGGAGTTGCGTCATTTTGTTCTTCAAGTTCACTCTCTTGGATTGATCTTGATGATGCTAAAATAAAGAAAATATATTAATAACAGTTTCATATATTGAAATTAAATTACACGAAGCACTTGTATATTCTTTCCTTAACAAACAGATAAGAATACTGAGAAGTCTTTATATTTTGATGTCAAACCGGCGCTTGGCGTGGCGACGCGTTGCCACGTCGACATGCGTCGTAATTCTCGGGCTCTCTTCCTACTAGGTTCAGCGATTTCCTCCTCTCTCCGTCTCTCTCATATCATCTCATATCACATCATATAATTTAGATATGTCATAATATATAGATATACCTATATAACCAATAAAACCGTATAATATTGTAAATTTCATATATTCCTTTAGTGTAATCGTTAACAAATATCAATGGATCATTCTTATCAAACCAGTATTTGAATTTACATCTTTACATATTTGGTTCTTACGTATTGAAACTACTTACTAAAAAATTGAACAATTCTTGAAACTGACAAGTTCATAGAATATGTAATTTTTTATTACGCTTATTTATGTAGAGGGGGTCGTTAGGAAATATTTGTGGTTGTACCGCCACGGTCAATACGTCGATTTATTCTAGAACGTATAACCTAAATAATGCAATATTTCGAACACAGTTTACACTCATATAAAGCCAGAGGCAGGGGACCATGAAGGTATTTTTACATAATTACCACTAACTACTTATTTTACTTGCTTTTATCATTATAATAATGATTATTATAAACTACTCATATATGGACGTTTATTTGGTTGTTACTTTTCTAGCGACTTACCCTCGCTTTGCTCGGGTGCATCCAGCGATGCAAATAATAATAAAAATAATTCCGTAATACATTTGTATAAAACAAAAGAAATAACTAATAATCATCTCCGAATAAAATCACTCAAACAAAAGCTTGTGAAAATGACAATTTACAACAATCAATTTTAAAATAAGTATCTATCTAAAGAAAACACGAAACTCTACCTCTAAAAAATCTATATAAATCTAAAAAAACTATACCTCTGCTTCCTTCTAATTGCAAAAAAATAAAGCAAACAAAAAATGCATACAACAATAACTGTTGTAACCAATAACAATCAACTGACATACGTTGACATGCTAGGACCCTCCTCGACCCCGTCGACGTCGTCGTTAAGGTATTATTACTAACTATTTAGACTTTTCCCAGAAAGTTTTACGTTTCGAGAGTTATTTTAAATAATATGTGATATATTCTAAAATATTCATCTAATTTAAATGGTATAAAGGCCAGTTTAAGGCAGTGGTAGCCCAGTGGTAACGCGCTCGCTTGGGAAACCGAATGAAGTGAGTTCAAATCCCGGGTCTCGCACCTCTGATATTTTCATGTGCGAATCATTTCCAACATGATTACCACTTGTCTTAACGGTGAAGGAAAACATCGTGAGGAAACCTGCATGTCTGAGAGAACCTAGCAAGTTTTCAAAAGACATGTGAAGTCCGCCAACCTGCACTTGGCCAGCGTGGTGGACTATAGCCTGATTCCCCTCGTGCTGAAGGGAGGCCCGTGCCCAGCAGTGGGACGTTAAAAAGGGCTGAATACATACATACATACATACAAAGGCCAGTTTTGATCTAAATTAAGTGCTTAAGTTGTCTAACATATTTATTTAGATAAGGATTAATACCATGCCAGTAAAACCAACTTCGAAAATAAAGCATTATTTTAGACCCAATTTGAGAACCATTTTTTTTTATTGTGAGTCCATTCCATTCCATTCCTTGAAAGATTAGTATTATACGTATGCTATAGCGGATTCTTTTGTAATTTTTATGTCTTTCAATTTATTAAAATATTTCGTGGTTATGCTGCCAGTCGGCATGATTTTTTCCAAAATCTTCAACAATCATCGTCATATTTCAGTCAATTTACACAAAACTTTAATGAATTATACACCTAAACCTTCCTTAGGAACCACTCCGTCCGTTAGTGCAAGCCGTTCGAAAATCTGTTTTGAGTTTAACGCTTTCAGACAGACAGTCGTGCTGGGGGACTTTGTTACCTGACTGAGCGATGCAAAGGAGGGTAATGTGTTTATCACCCTACGTATGTATGTATGTTCGTTCCTTTGTGGCACTCTAGAGACCAAACGCGTGGGCCGATTTTGATTATTTTTACGTTACATTCTTATATTGAATAGGGGTTTGAAAATATATTTTTTTCTCTTAGAATTTTTCATTTCAAGTGACCATTCAGGATCTATAACGATTTAAAGTTGGTTAGCAACCATTCTCACTTTAATTTTCAATACTTATGATAAAGCAGTGATAAAGTTCTTATGTAATGTAATCGATGAAAAATAACTCGACTTAGGTGTTTGACCTGTATAAAAGTGAAACGTATATGTCTTGAACTGCTTAATACTATATTCCTTTGTTACCTTGTTTTCATCTTTTTAGTTAGCTTTTATGCGGTCGGATTTTTTTTTATTGTATACATTTTTTTATAATATGTATTATAGTTTAAAGCATTTTCCATTATGTAATCAACAGAGAGTTTATGTTAATCAGAAACAGATTTTCTTCAATAAATTTTTAACTAACAAAAAAACATTGTTCTCGTTCACAATTCAAACCCCAACTTATACATACTTATGACTCATTCAGTGGTATATACTGTCTTTTATAGTGTATATTTTATGTTAACAATGCAACGGTTCGACCAATTCAACTTTGTTGCCTTAGATAGATTTATTATATATCTATATTTTATTATAAAATACAACACAGAAAGTTTTAGCGCTGAAGAATATTATAATTTATAATAAATAAATTATAAGTAATATAATTGTTTTAATCTAATAATAATTGTTTATTATTTCTCTTAATAATATTACTTTTATGCCTTTATTTTTTATTAAATTCTTGCATATCCTTTAGGTGAACTAATATTAATTGAGAAAAGGGACTATACTTACGTCTTCCAAATCGTCCTCTACTTGGTTTGGCAGGCGCGGGGGCGGCCGCAGGCGCGGGCGCGGGCGCGTCCTCCGCCTTGGTCTCTCGCGTCGCCGTGTTAAAACGCTTTTTGTCTACAACAATATATTTACAATTACTACGTTTTTCAAGACACCTGCATTTTCAATTTGACCTTAAATATTTTTTTAATAAAATTTTGTTTGCAAATATAACTTATATTAAATTAAAGTACACACTGTTAACTTTCTAAAGACACGACCTGCCTTGCATGACCTACAAAATCATTACAGTAGCAACAAAACAATAGGATGACCCTAAAGAAAATTGTCAAAAATAGTCTATATGTTAATTCGCGATAAGCTATTCTTAGTCATTTCGTGCTTCACACAAATCCGTTATAGGTATATTAATTGTGCATCAGCTATAACGGACTTTTTTTTATTAAAATAGCTTGCAGGGTAAATAGAATTCTAGAATTATCGTGTTCAGATGAGCACTTTTTTAGAAGTTAATCTTTAATTATTTACCAGATTTTTTATTTTTTTTAATTTATACCTGTTTTTTTTAATTAATAATTAATTTATATGAGTAAACTGTAAGAGAGAGTGAGAAAGAGAGAGGTCAATATATGCTAATACATGTTTCACTCAGTCTCATGCGCGTGGATAATGCCCTCGCGCTTCTACCCACAGAGGCATTAAAATTGAGTTTAAGGGACGATTGGCACCTTGGATCGGTCTGTCTTCTTGTGAATTTTTTTTTAAATAATTTTCTGCCGAACGAAGTTAAGTAAATTATTTTGGGACCTTTAAAGCGTCTGCAAAGTAATACGGCCGACGGAAAGTGTCTGGGAGTATTGACGACTTATTTTTAACGATATTGTCTAAAATATACGTGAAAATCAGCTTGGAGAATTTACGTGACGTAAGTAATGTTTTTATGTACCTTGATTACCTGATACCTGGAAATTCGCCGTCTAACCAAGCTAGCAGGTAGGCATGCGATCTTAGTACATATTAACACTACCCAATCGTCCACATTTCGTTCGTCAGAAAATACGTGACGTCTGGTGGCCCTGGGATCGTGGACTATTAGCTGTTAAAAGAAGTAACGAAAACGTACTCAAAAACTTTCGCTTTTTATAACATTAGCGCGCCTAAAATTTTAAAAGTCATGCTTATTTTGTGCAATTTACGAAGAAAAAAGCCTCTAACAACTTATTTTCAATTGAATTTTAATATATTTATGTTATTGTGTGGTTGTCTTTTCTTGTAGGTCCAAGATTTACAAAGGATTTACTCCCTTTTTACATATTATAATTTAATTAAGTAAATCTTATTTTACTGACTAATCTCCCTTTGTGTCTTCTCCATTCTACGTGACATTGGTTAAGTAATCTGTGCTCAACTGGCACATTTTGAAGCCAATAACGAGAGCTTTGAATGAAAAAAATCCTATGTCGGATATTTTGACATGATTTGACACTTTTCATACAAACATTATAGGAATATGCGGCTTTTGAAACTTATAATTTGCATAAATTCCATTCATCAATTATAACGTTTTTTATGCCATGTATCGATTTTAGGTATTAAATAAATAATAAACATACTGTAGTTGGCTTTAGCAGGCGCTTCCGGTTGATTCTCGGAATGCTGCGACGCAGGCGAACCGGAGCTTTTGGCTGAAAGTTGATAAATATATTCCATTTTATATTTAAATAATAGCAAAAAACGTGCAGTTGAATTGTTACCTTCTTCTTATTTTTTTCTTATTATTATAAATACACTACGTACCTACACACGGATTTATTATACACGTAAATATTTCAAACCAAAAGTTGTAAATGAATAATAGTTTCTTGACTATTTTTGAGATTAGTTTAAAACTATAACTGAAAAACAAGCTTTTGTTTATTAGAGTAGTTTTAGCAATAAGTAATCGAGAAATTCCTTCGGTCGCCTTTCATCATAAGTACTGTCACGCTGGTACACCGAATGTGAGCTCAATCTGTTTGATTGAAAATACGAGAACCTAAAACACAGACCAGTAGACATGCATACGAAACGAATCAATAAAATAAAAGCTTGTTAATATGAGAATTACTTCGCTTAAACACAGTTAATAATTTTTATAGTTCTAGCCTCGAGGTAGGTATAATGATATTTTTTAAATTTCACAAGATGGAGGCAAATTCCAGTTTTTAATTGAATTTTTATTTAATTAATATAATTTTTAGGCAATTCATTAAAGCCAGTTTGCAGTTAACATACATATTGTTGACATACATTAAAACAAAATATATTTTGATTATTTCGAAATAGTGCTGTATTATCTAGAGTTTGTGGAGGTCAAAATAAGAAACCACAAATATCTTAAAGTAATCGATTACATCAAAAAAAGGCGGCTGTTTAGAATTGGGGACTTGGCCCCTAGCGGAGTGGGTGGTATTTCTGGATAAGGGACGTGATAGGGAGTCGAAATGTTAAATAAATTTTTTAATACAACAAAAGAGTCAAAAGTTATTGAGACTTAAAGTTATAACATTTCCATACATTATTTTGACATTACTACCATTTAGACACTTGGAGTCAAAACGTCACTTTCAATTGTCAAAATGATCTCCAGATGATTGTCTTTATTTGTACTTTGCGTGAAATTCGAATTTTCTAGTTTTCTAGTCATTTATGGCACTCGCCGGCCGCTACCGCGGCACGCTCGCTTCGCTCGCTCGGCTCGTGCGTTGTGGCAACTGTTCTAACCTAACCTAACCAAGATATGACGAATAATTAATAAATAATCTTAAATGTTCTAACCTAACCTAACCCAGATATGAGGAATAATAAATAAATAATCTTAAATGTTCTAACCTTTTTTTTTTTTTTTTTTTTTTTTTTTTTTTTTTTTTTTTTTTTTTTTTTTTTTTTTTTAAGTCGGGAAATGCATTTACGCATACCACCTGATCCCCCAGGTGGTGATGTGGGGCTCACCGGCTAGAAGAGCCGGTACTACCCACTAAAACCCGACATTCCCCTCCCCTCCGCCTTAATGGGACGCCGCAGGATCGCTTGCGCATAACTACTACGGCGCCCCGGCGGCAGGTCTGCCTAAAAAGGCAGACCACCAAACCAATGGGGCTGCTCCACAGTCAACTCTGCTACGCCAGAGAGGTACCCGGAGCAGCCCCATTAAACCTAACCACCGCCCACCGAAATGGGCCACCTCCAATCGGCTGCAGAGGACAGGGAGAGCGGCAACGAAACACCGACACTCCTCTTCCCCTGCAGCCCCACCGCGTCCGCCATCGAACGGTGGCGGCCCCGTCTAGGCCGCGGAAGGTAGGGAGAACGGCGCACCGAAATACCGGCACTCCTCTCCCGCCGCGGCCTACTCCTCCGCCGGATGCGGGCCTGCGACCACAGTCCCGCAACCGGCACCCATCATCCGGTTGTGGGACCAAGCGGTCCCACCACCGGTGGCCGCAACGTCTTCGGCTCGAGGCCTAGACGAGCGGCCCCATCCAAGCCATTTGGTCCGCGCCGGATTTCTCCGGTACCACCCGCCGCCCTAAGCGGGTGGCATTCCCCTATCCGCCACCTGGGGACGCGCCCGGTAGGAGTTGGCTTCTCCCCCGGGCAAATGTTCTAACCTAACCTAACCCAGATATGAGGAATAATAAATAAATAATCTTAAATGTTCTAACCTAACCTAACCAAGATATGACGAATAATTAATAAATAATCTTAAATGTTCTAACCTAACCTAACCCAGATATGAGGAATAATAAATAAATAATCTTAAATGTTCTAACCTAACCTAACCCAGATATGACGAATAATAAATAAATAATTAAAAATATTCACAGATAAAAAAATGATTTTTTTTACTAAATGTACAATTGTAAAACAATATATTTTACATAAATCAAATAAAAAGTTATAAATGTATTTATAAAGTGAAAATAATATTTTTCTTTTTATTTATTTATTTATTAATATTAATATTTTACCAACAGAAAAAGCAAAAATAATCAAATATAATCTGTTGTCATTTAAGCGGTAATATAAAACAAAGTGTCAGTTTTGCTTTTGTCAAAATGTAAGATCATTTTGTTTGTGTTGTGAAATTATTAAAATATTAAATACAATAAAGCATTAATTGTTGTGAAAATGTGTAATGTACATAAAAAAGGATGCGTACTATTCGTTAAAGGTATGTTTATCTGTTGTAATCACTTATTTAGGTAAAGAAATGTATGGAAATGTGTTAGATATGTTATAACTTTAAGTCTCAATAACTTTTTAGTCGTACGTTTCCTCCAAATATTTTTAATATATTTTGACTCTCTGTCACCTCCCCTATCTAAAAATACCACCCACTCCGAATGGTGGTAAAGAAATATATGAAAATGTATGGAAATGTTGTAACTTTAAGTCTCAATAACTTTTGAATCTTTTGTTGTATTAAAAAATTTATTTAACATTTCGACTCCCTATCACGTCCCTTATCCAGAAATACCACCCACTCCGCTAGGGGCCAAGTCCCCAATTCTGAATTTGTGCCCAAAAAAATATTGCATTAATAAAAAAGAATATTATTTATAATTGAGTTCCGATATGCGATCTAAATGGAAAGGCTATCTGGCTAGTATTGACTTTAGCACTCCTTAATCGACCTGCATATTTAAAAAATAGGAATGTTTAATTCATATAATTTTTAATTAAATGTTTTAAAAGAATGTAAATTGATAAGTTAATATTACCTTCAGCGGCCTGAAGGCGCCTTCTCTTTAAGGCTTCTAAAAGATCGGTGTTACTTCTAAAGGGGCGGATTCCACCCGCGACTAATTTCTTTCCTTCAGTGGAAGAAGGGGCGGCTTCAGTTGACGGTTCTTGAGCTTCGCCTTCTGCGGGGTAGTCCCCTTCGTCTTCGTATTCTACCTCTTCCTGCATAATTATGGATTGATTTATACATTTGTTACACGAATTTTGCAACGTCATAGTGTCCCCAAAGATACTTTCAACACTCATGCAAATAAATGGATGTAAAGTTATAATTGTAACGCTTTAAATTTAAAAATATAAGTACTTATGTATCGTATTGCATATTTATAATTGTTGTATTGAAATTGTTGTAAGTAACAAGGATACCAATAAATTGACAAAATATCTAATTTTATACATAATAAATATATGTAGAAGAAAGGGATAAACCAAGTATACTCGTATATAGTATACATATGTACAAGTGATCGTCATGTACAAATGAAGTTTGTTGTTTTTTATATTTAATTGAACACATTGTTGGAAATATTAATAACAGATAATATGTCAAGGATAATTGAAAAATATCATGAATATAAAATCGATACATCTAGAAGACCTTCAAAAGTTATTATTGGCGCAAGCCTTCATTTTAAAGCACGTCACAGCCCAAGAGGTTGCAGTCATACATTCCGATAGCGGTCGCAATATTTCCATCGAGAACCAGTTCAATCAACACAACTATATAATACTGTATTAAACAAGTGCGTTATTAAGGCGTACGTAGAAATGCCACCGAGGAAAGGGAACCAACCCATGTTGAGGTCGCTGCGAAGGCGACCGTCCATCGGACGTCGGTCACATTCGCCTTGAACTAAATGATTCGTAAGTGACATCTTAAAAGAGCCAACGTCAAAATGGCAAAACGTTAAATATTAATTGCTTTTTCAATTACATACTTGTAAACACAATAGGCACTTGCAGTGTTCTACATGCATGTAGAATGAGAGAATGTGCATAAGTGTATTTTATTATAAGAGGGGGAGACTATTGCAGCTTTATTGGTATTCATTACATTTAAATTGATAAAAAACACATTCGAAATACTACCACTTGTAATTGTTTCCGTGTAACTTCACTTGGAAAAAATAGGAAAAATCCTTACCTGTAATTTTACTCAATAAATAAAAATGCGTACGTACTATTTAGTAGGTATTTTTTATAAAAGGAATGAGGATGCAGTCCTTGAATATTGCCTATCTCTACACCTTTTACCAGACCAATGTCAAGTTATTGCATTAATATGGTATATTCTCGTAACTAGTAAACAAGGCTTTTTTTTATTTTATAGAATAGTTGGAATATTTTTTTTTTGTTTTACTAACATAGTTCTTAAGTAATTATATTGTACTAACCAACTATAAGCCTATGTTGCTCGCTAATAAAAGATTTTTATTTTTATTTTATTTTTTATTATAATATATTTATCTACATATTACTATCTGCTTTATTTTATACATAGCATTATAACATAATAAACATTTAAAAAGAAAATTAATGAAAGATGAAATAGATAAAGAGTATTAGATAGCAGTTTACAAAAGATATATTGGTCTCGACCGTCAACTAAAACCCCTATCGCGGCCATTGTTCTTAAAACCGCATAAACTATCTGATGTAACCGACGCAAATGTACTGTAACACAATCTTCTAGATTTGCCTCAAGTCACTACGAGTGGTGGGTGTGTAATAAATAAAGTCTTGAATTTCGGGAAATCTAGAAATTACAATAACGAAATATGTCTTTCTGATCGAGATGAAAAATGCAATGTTTTTTTCATTAAGTAAAGAATTGTGTTTAAAAATATTAAAATGCTTCAACCATTTATATTATTCAGTATCGATGGTATTAATATTTTGTCTAATATTTAAATTCAATGCTAGCAATAATTGTGTAATGTGTGATTCATAGCCATCCATATTCCATCTAAGCCAATTTTGTTAAAAAAAAGGGTTCTTACGGGACTTACTTCCATACTTGGACCCCGATGGCCTTGTTGTCAATGACAATCAGAAATAATACTGAAATCTGGGCAGATCGTCTGTTAAGTACCTATATAAAATAATTTACCGTAACTCCAAAGAGCATTTTATTTACAATAATTGGGATGTTTCTAAAGATGTTTTTGTACTCCACCTGTGGTGCTGGTGTGGTGGTTGTGGTCTTTCCCTTGCCGACCAGGCCACGTTTCAGCAGTCCCCTATTGACGCCTCGCGGCTCTGCGTCGTCCTGCGGCCGCGCCCACGCTCCACTCGCCAAACATGCGACCAACACGACCCTGGAAGAACATCATAGTTAACCATATAGTCAATCAATCTTTTGCTTTTCAGTCAAATTAACATGAATAAATTCTTCAATCTGAATTATGAATATTTCCAAAATACGTAAATTACTATAAAACTTTTCCATGAATATGTTTTCAATGCCTGCTCATAGCAGTCTGAGAGCTGATTTTTAATACAAGTCTTAAACTAAGGCGCCACAATTCTTATTAGTATAAAACATAACCGCATTAATGTTAAAAGTATAGTCGGCCCAACCTCAAATATACTTATTACAACTTTAAAAACAAAATCCATTATATTACTACATTATATGTAATGTTAAATCTATACATATAATAAAATTGTAACTAAGTCGAATCTGTACATTAAATATTTTTTGGAAAATCTAATTGAAATAGATATTATTATCGATACAGAGTCCGAATCTATAGTTTTTTAAAAAAAATTCTGTGTGTCTGTCTGTTACCGCATCACGAGGAAACCACTGGACAGATTTTGATGAAATTTGGTATGATGATAGTTGGTTATCCGGGTCAACATATAGGATACTTTTTACCGCAGGAAAATATCTCATTTCTGAGAAAAAATACTAAAACTGCAATGTAAGAGTATACTAATATGTAAAACTTAAGAATTTGGTTTTTGGTCATCTGAACGCAGGCGGCGCCGCGGGGAATGCTAGTATTTATATAAAATTTTACTAATATTATAAATGTGAAAGTTTAGATGGATGTTTGGATGTTTGTTACTCAATCACGCAACAATAGCTGAATGGATCTGAATGAAATTTCTCACAGAGATTATAGTCTGGATAGCACATTGTCCCGGAGAAATGTATCTATCCAGAGGGATAGATTTGATTCTGTTTTTCTGTTTATTTAATAAATGAAAAGTGTTTATTTGTTACTTTTAATGATGACTGTCAAACGTGAATTGTTAGATACTCACGGAAAGTAAAAGTAAATACGTGCTTAGTTGCCATCAAGGATGTATTTATACATTGTGATTCGGTTTGACTTTATAAACAAACCGAATCACAATGAATAAATGCATAAATAATTGTTATTTACTAGTATGTTTCTAACTTGAATTTTCAATTAAAGTTAGAAACATAGGTACTAGTAAATAACAATTATATTTATACAGTGCACATTTACAAGTTATAACCTAAAGGATAAAACTTGCTCAAAATTTCGCAGTGCAATACCGTCCTTGTATATTTAACCTTTTCATAGAGATGGTTAAATATAATCAATCGTAATGCAAATACTAAAAGCTTCTGTGACTTTATCAATTAAATTTTATGAAATTAAAAAAACTAATTTATTCAAAAAGTTGGCAAAGGTCAAGTAGGTACTACAAAGAATATCATTATATATAGATAGAATCAGCAAGTTGTAGTTCATGTTACACTTCCTAGTTAGGCATTCTTGATACGTCTGGTGTAAAGATGTGTGCTAAATAGTTGAATAGTTTAAATGTCAAATTGTACGTCGAGTTACGAGGTTGGGTGAATGTCGTATGGAGGTGGATTGGTATGTCGGCGCTTCGGGCTGCACACGGGACTCGAGTGCGTAAGAGCCTCCAGCCTATGACAGCTAAAGGTCAACTTGTTGCTTTATAGATAGTTGAGTAACAGGTCCCCTTGCAGGGTCGGATCTCTACACTAAGCGGTTTCCGTATCCGCTTCCGATTTAGCTATCGTAGGCTCCCTTAACTTTCACTATTTTATATAATAGACGAGATTATCAAATGATGTGCATAAATATGCAATACCACTTGATTCATATTCATGCATGGTCACGGATGTAATCTTAAAATGTCTTACACAAATATGTAGCTAGGTATACATAACTTGACTCTACAAACCAGACCGGCGACATGCTACGTTTGCTGTATTATTCATCGAATTCGAAAATGGACTTATTATAGAAGTTTTTTCGTATGAATGCAACTTGCATGTTAAGTTTAAAAATTATATTGTTTCAGATTCAAGACACATTGGAAAAAGTGCAACTTTCTACTTGTGTGAAACCGTTTACTACAAAGTATGACGTAGTAGATACGTAAATGCTTCTGAATTGAGTTTGTTTTGTGAAATGGCAACCTAAAATCCGAGTCAAGGTCAATCATGCACAAACCAGAAATAGCAAGAACTGGGTGAACTCGCGATCGCAGCGCAATGCGGCATCCGAGCCGCTGCACCTCCTAGCATTACGAGTAACCTGCGTTACGCTCTTACGACTCGTAGTGCTTTATTACCGACATTATTTTAAAATAATAAATCTATGAGAAAATTCAAAACATTTTTATATTACTCAAGCCCCTTTCGAAAATGACTTTGCAATACGTTGTTATCAGATATACGTATTGAGACATTCGTGTGAAGAATTTCGCGTGAACCTTCCCACACTGTTGCGGTTGTGCGAATTATAAGAAAAATAATGAAGAACTAATGAGTAAGCATTATTTGTGTTCTGGTGAAATTCTATACCGATGTTGCACACACATTTTTTTTTTATAATTTTTAAATTTCACCTATAATGTTCTTTGTTTATCATCTTCATGATCTTTACACATTACATCGTAAAAAAGGTGAAAAGGGTACCACAGCACATCAATATAAGAAATATTTTGTGTCATTTTAATATAATATTTTCATTTAATAAATGCTTATGAATCTTATCAATTAGTTTATGAATAACGTAAGATAACGCTTAGTACTCTACATGAACAAATTTTGTAATTGTCTAATTTTGAAAACTGCGATCGTAATTAATTTTAAAACAAATAGGTAAAATTTAAGGAGACAAATTATCTAAAAACAACAAGAACTGTAACGGAATTTTAATACATAATCTTTATTAATTGAGGCCAACAACTGGAAGTAACTACATTCATTGCCTTCTAACAGTTATTTACGTTGACTAGCTTAGCTGATATCATTAACAATATGAATAACTCCATTTTTTATTTAGAATCAAATATGTTGGATATTTGGTGGTATTAATATATTCTGTATTTAATTTTTGGAGAAATGTTATAAAAAAATATTTTATCATAAATAATGAACTAATTATACTCTAGTTAGTATTTAAGGTAACTAACTGCCTTAAATACTAACCATATTGTGCCTTTAAGGTGTTCCTTATTGTTACACTGGTAATTTTAAATGCATTGGTATTTTAAAATTCTTTTTAATGAATACAAAGAATCCTCTTTTCTGATTAATTAAAAAAGAAATATAATAATAAAAACAATGAGAAGGAAAGATTATACGAGTATAAGACCCTCCGAAACGCACGAAAGGTCGGAATAAACCAAATAGTTACACTTTGATAGAAACAAAAATAATAATTACCTACTGTATCCTGCTTTAGGCGTTTTTGATGGTATATCAATACCATTTTTATCAAAATTTATCAAAATCTTAAAAAAATCTTTATTACTCAACACTTGAATGTCTCTTACGTTAGATCTAAACAATTTAAAAGCCGTACTTTCAAACAAATTCAACGCGTTTACATAAGCTCCGTGCTCATGAACGCAGATAATCTTTGGTTATTATAAAAACTTTTATATAATTTAATTTTATAATTTATTTTATTTTAATGTATATAAAAATATAATGAAAATGAGCTTTATTTACGTTTAAAAAAATAACGAACTGATGTATGTTTTTTAAAGAAAACGTGTTTTTTTTACTGACGAGACTTGTTGTGCGAAGATGCAATTATTACGTAAGTCATAGTTATGATCTGTAACAATTATCAGCCTTTCCTAGAAGTCATTTTAAAATTCAATGTGATGGTACAGTGGCTCCTTAGCGATTTCTCTGTCACATCTTAGATGAACGTTCAACATCCTAAGTGATACGAAATTTCTCAATCATAGGACACGAGCCTCTCTTTCTACGTGGGACTAATTCACTTACCAACCGGTTTGTGGTTTCGCTCAATTAATTTGAAAATTAATTGGTTTGGTACACTAGGTCAGCCCATAGCTTTAATGAGGTTTATAAGTCAAGCATTATGAAACTTGGAATCAGAAATATTTTTCTATTATTGCATTAACATTACGATCGTGACTATATTATTCAACTAGCATGAGCCACAACGCACAAGAGGAGAATGTAAACTGAAAAAATATTTAACAAATCGATCAACCTTTAATAGTAGGTAGTAAGGTATATGTCCAATAAAATTTATGATATATTTGTCCAAATCAGAATTGAAAAATTAATGTAAGATTTTTCACAGCATCCATTACAATTGTAGATCTTCTGATATATTTAAACTAACTAATTAAACTACCGAATTAAACAATTAGTAGGTATTCCTAATTTCCGCTTCCCGTCAAAATGATAAGACATCTACATTTAGATAATTAATTTTCGTGACGTTTGTTAGGCTGTTCTTTTACCTAGGTCTCTTTATTACTTTGATAACAATGAGCCCGAACTTGCCATTACAATCTGTATTATTTAGATATAGCACTCTCGTACTTCAAGACTAGTCATTAGAAAGGCACAATACTCACATATAAATGTGTTAACATATCAATTGTATTCGCTCCTTAACAGTACCTACTCATTTAATATGTTATTCTGTTGCCTATAATAAACAGACCTTCGTTTGCATACCTCTCACTAGTTTTAATGACTAAAAATTATTATGTACTTTGCATCGCTGAGCCGTGGGGACCGTGAAACTTTTCATCTAAGGAACCTGAAGTAGAACGTTTTAAGTTCTCTTCACCTAGCTCACAAATATCTAACTTTAAACTCAGCTTGACCAAAAAATAATCGTCGTTAACACAATTACATCGCAATTACAATCGCATAGCAGATTTTGGTACATTATATGTAAGGACTGACTTAAAATCAAATGTTATCAAAAACTAAATAAATATAAAAAAATACTTACAGCGGTAGTATCCTCATGTTTGTTTGGTCTGGCACGGATGTCGCAAGAAGCACTCGGCTCGATCCTTTCTCTGTGGAGCGATTATAAGCAGGTCCACAACGGTCGGAGGCCACGCTTGATCTGCCGTTCCAACAGCGACACCTCCGGTACACTCCGACGCTCCGTCGGTGCAGTGTTCGCCCGCCGCCCCGACACCACTAGCCTAATTTATATTCGGAGTAGCGCGTACCATGACGCATGCTGAACATTACCCACATACCACTCTTTTCATGCTTGGAAATAAGCGAATCCTGTTCAAAAATTTCATGGGTAGTTATAACATATTGTTAATGGTATTATTAAAACTGGTTTAAATATTTAGAACATAATTCATTTAGTTTTGATGGTGTATTTTTTTGGAATAATTATATATTATCCTGTATTAAGTATCTTTTTCCACGCAAGAAAGTTTCACGATGACCTGAAAATATAATTGAAAGCAAAATTTATTGTGTAATATGTGAAGATGTAATACCTATTTGAAAACAAGATTTGACCACTTGTTTGTATGCGCATGTACACATTTAGGCAATACACAAATGATAGAGCGTCGATGAGCGAGTAAGGCGAGCTTACAAAGATGACAACTTTCATAAAGTTCAGAGGTGACGAGGTTTGCTAAATGTTACATGTTTCTTAAATATCATAGGATTATAATTTTGTTTATAAAAAATAATACTACAACTTTTCATATGAAGGTTATAATTTAATGGTATTAATATTTAATTTATACATATTACTAGAATTGATGACAAAATATTATAATATCGAATATTTATCCTTGACAAGTAAAACTTATGTTATCTTTTTCCAAATGGCATTTAGTTTACGTAAATTAAACCTAATAACGTATAAAATAAATATGAGGTAGACTTATCGATATAAAAGGTGCACCAAATTCCAATTCAAAGTTTTTATATAAATTTTACTTCAGTAATACTAAAAAATAAATAAACGCATATATTTAATGCGAATTTTACACAATACTTAGATATTTTAGCATTTATTAATCTTATAAGCTACAAATTAATTATCCGCAGTTTTCTAGCCTAATATTTTGTAGAAGTAGAAGGAAGTGTAGCATTAGAAAATCCTGTTCCTAAATTATGTACGTGCTATAAAATCATAATTAATGTAACAGAAGTAATTAAGTTTGTTCATGAGCGGCTGTAATCGTTTTTACGTATTAATTAGTTAAGAATCTGCATTAAAAAATCATTATTTAATTTTCAAAGGTTAAAAATGTCATCGTACTTATAGGTACATCTCCCTTAAGACACGTGTCACGCTTGAAAAGAAGAAAAAGGTGGCGTTGCAGGTACTCAGCCAGAAATCCGCAATAGTCTTAAAATTAGTTAGTCAGTCAGTCAACTAACCCAACGAACATAGATAACTCTAGAATATCAATAATATTATGTACTTCGCCTATATTATATATCAAAAATTATAATATCTTACTTTTAATGGTCAAAGCGAATGTTTACTAAATGCATTTACTTAAATGACTGATTAAAATAACAATAAAAGCATGGTTATGACGCTCTACGTAAGTGGTAACAAATATTTCAACAATAGGAACCTCATGTAGGCTTCGAGTTTATGTTTCACGCTTTTAATACCTACCAAGTGTCTATGTACTTACATATTACTTTCGCTTTTCGATTTACACGTCACGGACAAGTACGGTATTATTGAATGTTAGAATTTACCGTACCGTACTCCTTTAGCATAATAAATAATAGGATTTAATCGAACTGTACCCTTCGTAATTACTCGTTTACCAAAAAGTTACTTATGTACGTATCATTAGGGTTCTTTTCAGTATTTTTCCTGTAAACTATCTTACTCGTAGCTCTTTAAAGACTTTCTATAGATAAATCTTTATTTTTATCAACACTTGCAGCAATATATATGTACAATGTACATATTCATCTATATACTAGCAGAACCCGCGGCTTCGCTCATGCTAAAAATATAAAAAAAACCTCTAAAAAGGTAGGTTTCATACAAACTTTCATCCCCTATTTTATCCCCTTATGGGAGGAATTTCAAGTAATTCTGATCATAAATATTTTTTGTGTTATATTATAACGTGATTTCCCGTGGGAAGGAGTTAATCTCCCGGAGTAAAAAGTAGCCTATGTCACTCTTCAGCCCTCCAACTATCTCCACACAAAAAATCACGACAATCCGTTACTCTGCTTTGACGTGAACGAAGGACAAACAAAACAAAACTAAATAGAAATCGCTACATTCGTTCGGGAGCTATGATGCCACAGACAGACAGGCAGACAGATACGTCAAACTTATAACACCCCTGTTTTTGGGTCGGGGTTAAAAAATAACTCGACAATTATTTAGTTAGGTTTAATTTAGAAAACCATCACTAGATGTCACCATGTTATTTTAAAATACGTAATTTTAATTCCAATAAAAATTAATGTCCACTCACGACTTCTCTACGATTATATTAGAATTACTAGCCCTATCCGCGGTCCCACCCATATCCAAACAACAAAAAATAACAAACTATTTGCCTTAAAAATTACTAACATTAATAATAATCTATAGGTCCATACTCGTATAATAAAATTGTAACTAAGCCGAGTTTGTACATTAAGTATTTTTTGGAAAATCTTATTGAAATAGACATTATTATCGATACAGAGGCCGAATCCATAGTTTTTAGAATTTTTGTCTGCCTGTCTGTCTCTTACCGCATCACAAAAAACCACTGAAGGGATTTTGATGAAATTTAGTATGATGATAGCTGGAAAATATCTCATCTCTGAGAAATCGATACTAAACGTTAAAACGTAAGGACGAACCCGAGCGAAGCGAGAGTGAGTCGCTAGTCTACTATAAATATTGTTGTTAATACGGAAATGTAATACTACGAAATTAAATATGAGATTAAAGGAGAAGCATTTGTGATATTGCCCATCACCGTATTTTTTCCCAATCTTGCGGAGCGCAATAAAACTGGTATACATTCATACCTACAATTACATAAATATATTCATATTTTATATGTAAAACCTAAGAATTTTGTTTTCGGTGGTCTGGCAATACTAGTTTTATATTTAACAAGTTATATAATATAGGTACGTAAGCAGGCGATATCGAAATAACTGTTCCATCGTAAATCAGTAATCCACAGATCTCGTGTCTGCCACGTCCTTCAGGTAGGTACATTGAAAATGAATCCGCCAAATGAACCGAATATTTTTTTTTAAATATTAATTACTAGCAGAACCCACGGCTTCGCCCGCGTTCAAACTACAAAAAATTGTTTGGCTTTATATTATAACAAATATATAATTAACGGCTGTAATGATTTTCAAATGTGTGTGTATGATTTTGACTCGATTCGATTTTGAGAGTTCCGTACCGCCGAATACGGAATATTATGTTGTTTTTACTAATATATTTACACACTAAAATAAAATTTTACGCAATAGATAAAAATAAGTTTGTGTTTCATATTATTTGTTAAAGATATTATGGAAAAAAGTAGTTTTGCGATCGTAATTCAAAATATCCAATATTAATAAGTTATTTAACGTAGATATATTCTGTAAATTAATTTTCATTTAAAGTATTTAGCAAGCTCCCACAGATCAGTCAAATCATGAGGCACCCATTTTCATATTTTTTTATTTTATCGATTTGAGGCAAAGGAGTCAATATTGATAATAAGGTAATGTTAGACCATGTCGCTAATTCCTGGGTAGTTTGGCTCGGATCGGCTTCCACCATCTCTTTAAATTCATTTTTATTCACCTGTGTAGGCGGTCTTCCACGTGGTTCGTTCTTCAAATCAAAGTTTCCATCACGAAAGCGTTAAAGCCAAAATCGCACGATGAGTTCATTAGCAGTCCCCTCTCCAAACGCAACATTGATATTGCGAGCTGTTTCTTAGCCGCGTTAGTTCCGCGTCGGAACTCGTATTCAAAAATCACTCGAATTTTCGAAGTATCCATCTTTCTTGTCTAAGCTGAATAAAAAAAACAACTGAAAGTCGATAATCGAATGTTGCACAAGTTGCAATTTTTAAAGCAGAACTACATACTCGTAGGTACCATGTGAAAAAAGCTTCACTCAAAAATCTCAAACCATGAAGGTTCTATGTTAATTCGAAGTACCAATAACAATAAAATGACAATTTTATACTTTAACCCCTATTATATCATCGGTTAGTATAGGTTTCTCAGAGATGAGATATTTTCCCGTGTAAAACATATCCTATATGTTGACCCGGATAACCAGCTACCGTCATACCAAATATCATTAAAATCTGTCCACTGGTTTACTCATGATGCGTTCTCAAATAGACAGACAGACAGACAAAAATTCTAAAAACTTTAGATTCAGTCTCTGTATCGATAATAATGACTATTGAAATAAGATGTTCCAAAAAATTCTCAGGGCGAGCGAAGCGAGTCCTACACTATCTCACAATCTCTGCATTTTTGTGGTACACTTTACTGAGAAATTATCACACTTTCAGGTTTGGGCTTTGGCACAGTATTTTCTATTCATGTCTATATGTGTTATCAATCACAAAAATATTATTATATCCACATTTTAAAAACAATAGAAGATATAACAATTTTCATTAACAGCTCCAGGTAAATTTCTAAGAAATTAATTGAAATTCTAAGAAATCTATTGTTAACTGCAACGCCCGCATGTCCGCGGTCGTGGAGGGATACATTAGATTTTTATTGTATTTATTACTAACGCCATCTGTAAGTAAACTAAAAAAATACTTTTATAGTATGGAGCATAACTTGAAGAAAAAATGTCGGAAATTTTAATGATATCAATGTTATTGTTTCATCAAAATGCCACGAAGACGCACGTTAACAGGCCCTAAAGAAAGTGAACAAAACCGTTCTTTGATGAATGAACTAAGACAACGTCAGAAACAATCAACGTCAGGATCAATTTGGATACAGTGGCCAAATTATCAATT